TTTTTTTTTTTTTGGTACCGGGGATTGAACTTGGGTCCTTGTGCTTGCACAGCAGGCAGTGAAACCACTGAGCTAAATCTCCGGCTCCCCTGAGGCCTTTTTTTAATTTTGAGTTTCTTCGGTTTGCCAGGGCTAGATTTGATCTTGCAGTCCTCGATTTGATCTTGCAATCCTCCTGCCTCAGCCTTCTGAGTAGCTGGAATGACAGCATGCAATGCAACCCCCAGCTTCAGTCTTAAACTTTGCTCTTCTTTGGGCTTCTCTGTGCCCTGCGGAAGATGCTCTTCCACCCACCATACTGGCTCATCTGCCCCTTGGAGAAGCAGGGTTTTCTGGAACAGTGGCTACATGGGGAGGGAGGAACTTAGGGGACTGCAGGCCAGATGCGTGTAGCGCTGTCCTCAGGTGTGTCCTGGACTGGGACATCATTTGTCCCTATTGTCTTTCCAGTTCCACAGGCTAGGGGAGAGGCCTCAAGTGACACTCACTGGCCCAGGTGTGTTCGGAAGGGTAGATGCAGGGCGGTGCGTGCGAGGGAGGCCGGCCCGGCACTGCTGAGTCTCCCACCCTGCCCCACAGGCCGAGTTCGCCATGTTCAGCGGGACCCACGTGGAGCGAGATTTCGTGGAGGCGCCGTCACAGATGCTGGAGAACTGGGTGTGGGAAAAGGAGCCACTGCTGCGCATGTCCCAGCACTACCGCTCGGGCCGAGCTGTGCCGCAGGAGCTGCTGGACAAGCTCATCCAGTCCCGCCAGGCTAACACCGGTGGGGACGGCATGGGGTGGGCACAGGCCCAGGCACTGTGTGGGCGGGTGGCCTCTAACCTGCACTCCCACCACCAGGGCTTTTCAACCTGCGCCAGATCGTGCTGGCCAAGGTGGACCAGGCCCTGCACACACGCACGGACGTCGACCCAGCCGAGGAGTACGCGCAGCTCTGCCGGGAGATCCTCGGGGTCCCTGCCACACCAGGTAGCCACACCCATTCCCCTCTCACGGCAGCTCCTGGCCTCCCTTCCGCTCCCCAGAGAAGCACCTGGCCCCGCATGTCAAAGGTGAGGGCTTGCAGTGTCCCTGTGCTGTCGGGGACAGGAGAGGACACAGCCGCTCTCAGCCCCCCAACCCTGGCTGCCCTCCCTGTGGAGGGGACATGATACAGGTCAGCTCCTGGGGCCAAGTCCCTGCCCAGAGCCTGGGAGCAGCCAACAGTGAGAGGAGTGGCCCCCAGGCTCAGGAGAAGCAGAGGGAGGCAGGAGGATGGCGCCCTTCCCTGTCCTGAGGAGGGCAGTGCCCACCCTTAGTGTGTGTGTGGTTGTGGGACCCCCTATGTGTAGAGTTATCTCAGTGGATGGTGTTTTGTCAGTGTAAGGTCCCATGAGCGTTTGCTTTTTTTCAACTGAGGATTCAACCCAGCCATGCTGTACTGTGAGCTGCACCCCTAGCTGTCTTTATTTTGAGATGGGGTCTTGCTAAGTTGTCCAAGCTGTCCTGGAACACACGATCCCCCTGCCTCAGCCTCTTGCGTAGCTGGGATGCACCACAGGGCCTGGCGAATATTTCTCATGGGGGTTTGAAGCAGCACACAGTGTCCTGTTGCATGGGCACCCCTGACTCCTGGAGGCCAGCTTCTCATGGAGCTGTGGGTGGGTGTGGTCCGTGGGACCCTTGGGCTCGCCCATCCCTAGGCTCACCTATCCCTGTCTATCCAGGGACCAACATGCCTGCCACCTTCGGCCACCTGGCAGGTGGCTATGATGCCCAGTACTACGGCTACCTGTGGAGTGAGGTGTTCTCTATGGACATGTTCCACACACGCTTCAAGCAGGAGGGTGTGCTGAGCCCCAAGGTGAGGGTGGGGATGTGGTGGGTGGGGTGGGACGGCCCAGGTCCCCCACAGCTGCAGCTCAGCCTGTACCAGCCCCGTTCTGGGACAGCACTGGTCCCGCAGCCAGAGAACAGTGAGACTGGAGCCTCAGCCCTGAGCCAGGCCGCATTCCTGGCCTTGGTCAGCCCTTCCAACCCCTGTGACAGGGTGGGGTGACATCCGTGCCCATGCTGGGCTCTCTGGTGCTGTCCTGTGTGCTTTGATGTCCAAGGTTCTATGTCCCCGCACCCTCACCCACGGTGCCCTGCCCTGGCACCCACAGCCTCCCTTGGACCAGTCACAGGGGCGGGCAGACCCTGGGGCCTCTACCCACAGCCAGCCCTACCTTGTGCCCCACAGGTGGGCATGGACTACAGAACCACCATCCTGAGGCCGGGTGGGTCTGAGGACGCCAGTGCCATGCTGAAGCTCTTCCTGGGCCGAGACCCCAGGCAGGACGCCTTCCTCCTGAGCAAGGGGCTGCAGGTGGAGGCCACCGACCCGGCCGCCTGCTGACGCCTGGAGCCCTCAGCCCCGTGCCCGCCCGCTGCCCTGTGCCTTAGCCCTAGCCCGACAGTGGCCGCCAGGACGGCGCTCCGGGCCACAGGGTGAGCTCCAGCGACTCGGCGTCCCCGTCTGTCCCACCCCGGCCCCGGACCCACGGGGGCCAGCCAGTTGGAGAAAGCTCCCTGAGGGCCTCATTTTTGTTGCACTAGCGTCCCTCCCGGGGCAGCACCTGTTGTACAAGGTGGTTCTGAGAGACACAGCCAGTAAACACTTGAAACACTTGAAACAGCTCCCAGGTTGGTCCTTGGCTCCGTCCCCTCAGTGCAGGGCCGCTGGGATGGTCCCAGGTTGTCCTGGCTTCGACTCTGGGCAAACACGCATGGGTCCCTGGGGATGGCTGTGCTCTAGGACTAGTTGGGCCAGGGCCAGGGAACCTGGGAAGGCCCAGTTCTATCTGAGGGCCTGGCTGACCAGGATCACCCCTCAGGCTATGCCCCTCTCTCGCCGTGTTCAGCTGCGTCCCACTGTGGACCACACTCAGCTCTTCTAGGGTGCCGGCCTCACAGCCAGCAGCTGCCTTGGGTGCATGCAGAGCCACTGACCTCCGGCACCTGCAGGGGAAGTTCATGGCCGATGCTGTGGATTTCGGCTTCCGGTTGATCAGTGCTGCTGTGTAAGGGCTGAGCCTCCCTGGGCCAGAGATGCATCGGCCACTGGGCCCTGGGGCTGCCAGAACCACCAAATCCTTGACCATGGTGGGTGAGCAGTGTCTTGGATCCTCTGGTATTTTTCAGAAATATCCCAGTGGCTTTTAGTTCTCTGGTTGTACCGAGGATTGAACCCAGGGCCTCCAGGCTACGTCACATCTCCAGCCCTTTTAATTTTTTTTTGGTACCGGGGATTAAACTTGGGACCTTGCACTTTCGAGGCAGGTGGCGGCACCACTGAGCCAAATTTCCAGCCCCAAGCCCTTTTTATTTTCGACACGGGGTCTCAATAAGTTCCAAGTGGCACAGGTTGGGGTCTCAGAATGCTGAGATGACAGGTGGTGGCTCTCCACCCTGTCCCTGGGTTCCATGTCGGTAGGGCCCTTTCCCAGGGGAGGCCTGCACTGGCTGGCAGACACCTCCATGTGGACAGGATGTCTGGGGCTGTGTTGCCCGCTGTCACCAAGCCAGGACCAGTCTGCTGTGGACCCCGGCTGTGGGATCCTCTTTGCACCCAAGAGACACCAGCCTCAGCTTCCTGTTCTGTGACACTACAGCCTCGATGCTGGGGGGATTGATCTTAGCTAAGCTGGCAGTTGTGCCCATGGCTGAAACTGTCATCAGAGTCATGGCAGCTGTCACTTATGTTTAAACACCTGGTGCTCCAAAAGGAAAGATGAAGACCAAGCCGGGTGTGATGGTGCACACCTGCGATTCCAGCACTCTGGGAGGCTGAGGCAGGCAAACTGAAAGTTCCAGGACAAACTCAGCAAATTAGTGAGACCTTGTCTCCAAATTAAAATACAGAAAAGGGGCCGGGGAAGTAACTCAGTGCAGAGGCCATCAGTTCAATCCCCAGTACTGTAAAACAAAACAAAACAAAACCACCTGAGGGCGTCAGGCCCTTCCCAGTGGACAGGCTGAATCTACCTGGCCATCTCTGCCTAAAATCACACGCACCTCCCCTCCCTCTCAACTCCTTACTTCGCTTTCCATTTCTTCGCAGCCCGAATTACTCTGGAACCCACTCTTATTTTCCCACCGTCTGTGAACAGCCGGCCCACTGTAGCGCGCAGGATTCATGTCTGCGGTTGCTGCAATCCTGGCGGGGTCCAGCAGGTGGCAGGACCTGGCCACATCCGGGCCTCAAAAGTAATTCCCAGTCATAGCAGTTCTGGTCTCCCAGCTTCCGTTCTCCTTTCTGGTGTTTTATACCCATCAGCCCATTTCTCCTAAATTAGAAAAGTCCTTTTCCTGCTTAGGACACGCCAGTGGTTGCTTTTTTTCCTTTTGGAGTACTGGGACTGGAACCCAGGGCCTTCACACTGAGCTACATCCCAGCCCTTTCTTATTATTTATTTTGAGACAGGGTCTCATTAAATGGCTACGTTGCCCAGGATAGGCTCAAACTTGTGATCCTCCTGCCTCAGCCCCCTAGAGAGCTGGGATTACAGCCTGCGCCACCACACTGTGCTAGTGTTTGCTTATTTTGTCAGAGTAAAGGGCAAGTTCTTCATAGGCCTCGGTCTCTTCTTCCAAATACACTCAGGACTGTCTCCTTCAGCCTTTGGTTATTTTATGTTTGTGATTACCCAAATGCCACTACCTCAGATCCTCAGAGTGCACACCCCACAGACACCACTCTTGCCTACTCCATGTTTCTCCATACTTGTACTTTAGGCCACCATCTAATATGTATTCTATCCGCTTAAAATAGTATTTGTCTTTTTCCTCCCTGCATTACTGGGGATGGAACCCAGGGCCTCAAGCATGCTAGGCAAGTGCTCATCACTGAGCTGCACCCCTGCCCCATCTTGTTTTCTGCCTCCCTCAATTTAATGTTTTTTTGTTTTGGGGGTTTTGGGGGTTTTTTTGGTACCGGGGATTGAACTCAGGACCTTGTGCTTGCGAGGCAGGTGCGGCGCCACTGAACTAAAACCCCGGCCATACAATTTAATGTTTTTGCAACCTCCTTGGATATGTAATTATGTCAGCATTAAACTTTTTTTTTTACATTACAGCCAGTGGTGGCACATATATGTAATCCCAGCACTTTGAGAGGCTGAGGCAGAAGGATGGCAAATTCGAGCCCAGTCTGGGCAACTTAGCGACTTTCTCAAAATGAAAAATAAGGGCTGAGGATGTAGTTTAGTGTTTATGTTCAGTGATCATGACCAGCGGCAGCCTTTTCACTACTCATTTCCTATGGGTTTTGTTTTTGTGTTTTTGTACCGGGGATCGAACTCAGGACCTTGTGCTTCCGAGGGAGGCAGCGCTAACTCCTGGCTGTTTGTTTTTTGAGACAGTCTCTCTATCCAGGTTGACCTTGAACTCAAGGCTATCCTCACGCCTCAGCCTCTCAAGTGCTGGGATTACATACAGGCCGGAGCCACCGTGCCGGCCATTTCCTGTTTTAAATCCCGCCCCTAGGTCGGAGCCCCCAAACTCGTTGACCACGCCCTTAAAATCTGACCTCGCCCCTGGGACGCTGCGCATGCTCTGTCGCTAGCAAGCGCCAAGTCACGCTTAATCGGCACAAACTACTGCTTACTATTCCGGGTGGGCAGGTCGCTGGGACTCTTCTTCCAATGGAAAGGCGGGATTTGCCTTTTCTCTTGCCTGCGGAGTGGCTCTGGGCAGGTCCTTCTATGTGGATTTAATTTATGTCTCTGGTCCTGACTGGGGCTTCGAGGTTTCCCCTGCGCTGCGGGCGCCTTAACTGGATTCCCCCGCGGCAGCATTGGTGCCGTCCGGCCCGGTCACATGGGCGGCAAGATGGCGGCCTGCAGGGCACGCTGTGAGTGTCGCGGCTGGTGAGACTCAGGCGGCGGCGCCGGGAAGACAGGTTGGACAACTCGGGAGGTGGGCGGCGGAGGACGCGGTGCGGGGCCCCGTTCTAGCGGGTGGCATCCGGTTTCCGGAATTCATTGGCTGGGGATTGAAGCCCCGAGTCCCTCCGATCTCTTCCCCCTGGGTCTTGGGGGTCTCCTGTCACCAGGGATCCCTGGGAAGCCAGCGCATAAGACATTCCTGTTGGGTGACCACCTTGTCAGCATTGGGGAACCTTGTGAGGGACCCAGGAGTAGAGGATCCTATGAGGAAGGATCTTCAGGCATCTGACTCCCGGGGAGCTCCCAAGGGATCCCAGAGAGCCAGTCGTCTCTGGGGGATCCTGAGCGGCCCCCGCCACACATACACCTTGAGGCATTCCTTGTCAGGGAGATCCCTTGCGGCCAGTGGGGCCCTAGCTATAGAACATTTTTGTGTTGGAGAGTTGATTTAGAGCGATGTGTAGAAGCGGGACGGGTTTGTATGTCTTCAGTCTCCACCTACTTCATTTTGCTTTTTTCCAGTGCTGGGGATTAAATCCAAAGCCTCTGCCCTGAGCTCCATCCCCAGCCCTTTTTATTTTTTGAGACAGGGTCTTGCTAAATCGCTGAGTTGCCCTGGTTGGCCTCGAACTTGGCGTCCACCTGCCTCAGCCTTCTAGAGTGTTGGGATAACCAGTGTGCCCTACCGTGCCCCAGCTCTCTAAGATGCCTTGATAGAGGCCGGGCACAGGAAGCCAGGCGCCCCGGGCGCTGTCAGCCCTTGAGTCAAGTGGAAGCTCGACTGGTAGAGTGAGGAGTCAGGTCCCATTGTTCCCAGTGCCCCGCCAGCTCACACCTCCTGCCTGGTGTGCTCTCTGATGATCCTTCCTACGTGTGCCGTGTGACCTTCTGCTGGCCACTTGTGCAGGGGCAGCCCGCACATGCCGCTGGAAACAAGGCAGGCTGTGGTTCGCCACCATTGAGAAGCGTCTTCCAGGCTCTCAGCTGGTGTGTAGGCCAGAGAGGGGTCCTTTCTCACAGTACAGCTGTGTCAGTTCATTTCACTTCATCCAGGCTACAGAGCACTTGTGGTTTCCAGTTGTACTCTGGATCCATAACTCCCCACCCCCTTCCTAAACAAGCCTGCCTCAGTTTCCTAGCCTATACAGCAGGGACAGTGCTACTTCCTACCCTCCGAGGTGAGGATGACTGAGTTAATGCAAGGGGTTTATCAGACTGCTTGGGACACAGCAAATGATACATAAAGGTCAGCTGCTGTTTCTGAGTTTTTGTTCTTATTGAGGACCTACTGTGTGCATGTGTTTGTGATGAGTGCTACTCAGAGCACAGTGGTGACCCAAAATAGTCTCACTCCCTGCCTTCAGAGTTCTGTTCTCATGAGGGAAAAGATGAAGCATAAGTAGCTGGGCTGGTGGTGCACACTTGTCATCCCAGCACTCTGGGAGGCTGAGGCAGGAGGGTTGCACATTCAAGCCCAACCCTGGCACCTTACAGACTTAGCAAGATTCTATCTCACAATTTACAAAAATATTTTAAGAAGGGAGGAGGATGTAGCTCAGTTGAACTCCCTGTGTTCCATCCCCAGTACCATACACAAAAATAAATTTTTCGAAAGGTCAATCATAAGTGAGCCAGTAAGTATCCAGTAATTACTCTGTCTGGTGGTGGTTAATGCTTTGAAGAAAAAAATTGTCATCAGGGAAGGTTTCCCTGAGGAGGTGGCATTTGAGAGCCAGGGAAGTGAGAGCAACAGCCCCAGGGGCATTTTGGGTTGCTTTTGTTGTTTTGAGACTGAACCTTGCTTTGTCGTTTGGGCTGACCTTGAACTCACTGTGTAGCACAGATGATCCCCCTGCCTCAGTCTTCTGAGTGCTGGGATGACAGGTGTGTACCACCATGCCTAGTCCATAGGTACATTTTGGGAGGATTTTTTCTCATGACAAGAACAGCCTGTGCAAAGGGCCTGGGGCAGGACAGAGCCTGAGGAGCAGTGAGGAGCCCCAAGTGTGTAGAGGATAGGGGTGGGGAGGCAGAGGCGAGTGGGTCCTGCAGGGCCTTTGGGACTGTCTGGGAGTTTGGAGCAATGAAGAGCCATGGGAGGATTTTCAGCCGGGCAGTGACAGTCCAGCTTGCACACCGAGCAGGTCCTCTTCAGTTATCTAAGCTATGGAACTGATGGCTCGGTGCTCAGCAGCTTTAAACACTGCCTCACACGGTGATCCAGGGGCTGGGAAGACTGGCAGGGGCCACATCCCGCCTCTCTTGGGGCTGCTGGCAGGAGGTCTCAGCGCCCTGTCACAAGCGCCGTCATGTCTCTAGTGACCTTGTCACATGGGTGGGCCCTATTTGGCATGGGAGGGGACAGTCAATACCAGAGCATGAGTTCCTGGTGGTGGGATGCCTGGGGACATCTCGGGGATCAGCCGCCACGATCCCAGGGGCCGCCCTGTGAAGAACAGAGGTCATGGCTGACCCAGAGGGCAGGGATAAACACTGAGGCCCAGAGAGGGAAAGCAGCTTGTGGAAAGCTGCACAGCAAGTGCGTTAGTCAGGTGGGATCTCAACCCCCACACCCTCCTAGGTCCTGTGAATAATCACAGAGGGCGAAGGATGTCTCTGACCCAGCTTCACTTTGACTTTTAAAATGTTTTATGTTTTTGTGGTACTGGGGATTGAACTGAAGGCCTTTGCACTGAGCTATATTCCCAGCCCCACTTTAAACATTTTCGGTGCGCCACCACCATGCCCGCCCCCAGCTTCTCACTTAGTGCTGTGTGTGCATTCTTGTGCTGCAGGCTCTCCAGGTTTAGCTGCGGAGGACCTGCACTGTGGACGGGCGGGAACCATGGTGACGGAGCAGGAGGTGGAGGCCATCGGGCAGACGCTGGTGGACCCCTTGCAGCCCCTACAGGCCCGCTTCCGGGCCCTCTTCACACTGCGTGGGCTCGGCGGCCCCCACGCCATCGCCTGGATCAGCCGGGCCTTCGGGGACAACTCGGCCCTGCTGAAGCATGAGCTGGCCTACTGCCTGGGCCAGATGCAGGACCCCCGTGCCATCCCTGTGCTCGTGGATGTGCTGCAGGACACAGGCCAGGAGCCCATGGTGCGCCACGAGGCGGGTGAGCAGCCTGTCCTTCTGCCTTGCACACCGTCACCCACAGTTGACAGGCCTCAGGGGCAACCCACTGGCTGTACTGTGAAGTCGAGTAGTAAAGATTTTCAGCTCTGTTTTAGAGACAGCACTGGCCACAGTGACTCATAAAAGTCACCCATCAGTGGCACACACCTGTCATCCCAGCTACTCGGGGAGGCTGAGGCAGGAGGATTGCAAATTTGAGCCCAGCCCGAACAACTTAGCGAGACTCTGTCTCAAATACTCCAGGCTTCAGGGCCTTGGCCCGCGCCAGTCCCCCCTTGCTGAAGGCTGTGGGGGTCTACTGACTCCCCTCCCTCACATCCCAGCTTAAAATCTCCTCCTGCAGAGAGGGCTCCCTGAGGGGCTGGAGCTCCTTGTCCCCTGTGGCATTAGGTGTAATGACACCCTCTTTCCATCCAGGGTCGCTGTCTGGGGTGAGGTGTTTTGCTGGTCACTGCAACTTTGTGAGGTTATGGGCCAGGTCCAGGTTCTGCAGAAAGATTCTGATTGGTCCACTTTGGAGTCTGTATTTGCTGCTGCTCCAGTCAGCCATGGCCAGGGGCAGGGGGTCGACAGCTGGTTGATGGCTCCCATGAGGTAGTGGGCATTCCCCATTTATCCACCCTGAGCTCTGGTTTGTTCTCAGGGGAGGCCCTGGGCGCCATCGGGAACCCGGAGGTTCTGGAGCTCCTGAAGCAGTACTCTGCTGACCCTGTGCTTGAGGTAAGGAGGGCCTTAGCGGCCATCTCTGGTTGCCAGGGCAACCGCTTAGCCAAGGACGTTCCAGGGATGAGGGAGGGGAGGGGAGCAGCAACTGGGAGGGACCCCTTCTCCTCACCACTATATCCAGTCACTCTGCCAGGTCTCCCTGTTCTCTCCCTTGCTGTCCCTCCTCGGCCCACTGGACCCTGCAGCAGTCTCTGCTGCCTCGAGAGTGGCCATTACTTCCTCTTTTTGAACTGAACCCAGGGCCTTTGCCCTGAGCTCCATCCCCAGTCCTTTATTATTTTTTGAGTCTTGCTGAGATGTCCAGGCTGGGCTCGAACTTGGAATCTTTCTGCCTCAGCTCCCCAGAGCTGGGGGATGATAGATAGGTGTGTGCCAGCAAAGTCAGCCTTTGAAAGTATACACTGAAGCACATTTAGTGCATTCCAAACTGTGCAGGCATCAATATTAGCTATCTCATCACCTCAAAAAGAAGCCCCAGGGCCGGGGATTTAGCTCAGTGGTTCTGCTGCTTGTTTTGCAAGCGCAAAGTCCCGAGTTTGATCTCTGGTACCAAAAAAAAAAAAAAGCCCCAACTCCGGGCACCCATGAGTTCACTTCCTGTCTCCGGAGTCGCCTGTCCTGGGCGTTTCCTGTCCACGGAGCCCCATGCTCTGTCCTCTGTGTCTGGCGTCTCTCACTGAGCACGGCGTCCTTAAGGTCCGTCCATGCTGTGGAGTGTCACAGCCTTGCTCCTTTCCCTGTCTCCACTTTGGGCCATTATGAATGGTGCTGCTGTGGAGGTTCTGTGGGAAGCTGAGGCCCGGATCTGCCCCATACTCAAAGCACTAGTGGCCTTTCATCCCCTCAGAACCAAATTCCAAGTCCCTGCACAGCTTGGCTGGACCCTGCCGTCCCTCCCTCAGCCGCTCACTTCCACCTGAGCCTCTTTGCTGGTCCTCCGTGGCCCTGCCTCCGGGCCTTTGCACTGGCCATGCCCTCTCCCCTGCTCTCCGCCTGACTCCCTTGCGCCCCTGCCCTGCAGGTGGCAGAGACCTGCCAGCTGGCGGTGCGGCGGCTGGAGTGGCTACAGCGGCACCCTGGGCAGCTGGCGGCCGCTGGTCCCTACCTCTCGGTGGACCCGGCCCCTCCCGCCGAGGAACGCGACGTGGGGCTGCTTCGGGAAGCGCTGCTGGACGAGGGCCGGCCTCTCTTCGAGCGGTACCGCGCCATGTTCGCGCTGCGCAACGCAGGCGGGGAGGAGGCCGCCCTGGCTCTGGCCGAGGGTGAGGAGGGCCCCGGGGGTGGTTGCGGGCCCGGGCCCGGGCCTGGGGTGGGCGGGCGCCCCTTCCCATCCCCACCGCCCTGCCCAGCCTCCCTGACGCCTCTCCCCCCCACAGGCCTGCGCTGCGGCAGCGCGCTTTTCCGCCACGAGGTGGGCTACGTGCTGGGCCAGCTGCAGCACGAGGCCACAGTGCCGCACCTGGCCGCCGCCCTGGCCCGCCGCGCCGAGAGCCCCATGGTACGACACGAGTGCGCCGAGGCCCTGGGCGCCATCGCCCGGCCCGCCTGCCTGGCTGCGCTTCGGGCGCACGCGGCCGACCCCGAGCGCGTGGTGCGGGAGAGCTGCGAGGTGGCGCTGGACATGTATGAGCACGAGACCGGCCCGGCCTTCCAGTACGCCGATGGGCTGGAGCTGCTGCGGCTGCGGACCCCGCCCTAGTCCCCGCCCGGCCCAGGCTCTGCGGGTCTCCCCCTTGCCCCACTTGGCATCTAAACTGGGCCTACGTACCGTGGGTTCCATTTCCAGCCCTGCGCCTGGGTGTCCTCTCTTGCTGGCTGAGCACTTGGGACGAGGTTGGTGTCCCTGTGCACAGGGCGCGGCCCGAGGTCTGCATCTGGACACCCAGAGCGGCGGACCGGAAGCGCCCCAGGACCCAGACCAGGCGGACCGGAAGGGGCGTGTCCTGGGGGGCGAGAATGTTGGGGAATCAGGAACTGGGTCTCTTGGGAAGGGTCACGGCGACTGGCTCAGGCTTCATTAGGAATGGGGAACAGGGTTTGGGGGTCCCTTGTCCCCCTCACCTTTGGGGCCCAAGCAGGAACCGAGAAGCGGCCTCTGGGTAGGCTGGGCTCAGGGCACTTGCTGGCCCTGGGGTGCTGCCCAGATGGAATATTAAACTGTTTTTGCCAACCAATGATTCCTCCGAGTGTGGGATTGGGGCTGCCCCCCAGGACCTTTGACACTCCAGTCTAGCAGGGCATTTGGAGCCATAGTTGGGCCCTTGGGTTCTTCCCACCAGCTTAGAGCACAGTCTTCCCAGATAGCTCCCTTAAGAGGACTCTGAGGAAGCAGCCCTCCACCCCAGGTCTCTCCAGACCCTCATCGTCCCCCATATCCTATTTGGGGCACAAAGGAAGGGGTTTTGTGATATGGGTAGGAGTCTGGGCTGTGGCTTGTCATCCGGATTCCCACAGTTCCCCCATGGACAGCAGGGGGCGGCCCATTCACATCTGCCAGGGATCCCACAATGCCCTGCTACCTACCATAGCATAAGCTGGCCCAGAAGTTGAGAACCGTCCTGGGAGATTGTGTGTGGTCCCAGACCCAGAGGGGAGCTGCTGGGTTTTAACTCCACCTGCCCAGCGAGCACCTGAGGCCACGTCTGTCAGATTCCTACGCACGTGGCCAGTTGCTCTAAGCCTCCCAGTTGGACCCCGTCCTGTCCACATGACCCCTGTTGGCCAATGAACGGAGTGGGCATGGCCAGCATCGCTAGCAGGCAGAGCTCCAAGGTAGCAGCACTGTGGGGGAAGGCAGCTTCCCACCTGCCGGCTCCTGTGGGTCCTGGACGCCATGCAACAGAATCACCGGCTGGCCCACAGTGGTCACAACTGCGTGTTTCCTGTTAGACCGGGCTCTGTGATGCTTGCCTGTAATCCTAGGCACCACCCACCACCCCCGCCTAGCTGCTCCTCGATGTCTCCATTTAGGAGCGGGGGCGGCTGACCTCAGTTACAACTCGAGTTTACAGTGCACTAAGCACGGTCACATCTCAGGTTGTGCCTCTCGGGCCTGCACAGTCACCTGCTTGGCTCCCCGCTCCCACCCTCACACCACAGCCTGGCATCCCTATGGTAGCCACCAGAGGGCGCCCGTGAAACCCCTCCCTGCAGCCCACAGGGCCCCGCCTGCCCGCTCCCTGTGCCCTTCGCTTCCTCTGCTCCAGCCAGTCAGTTCCTCGCTGCTCCTCCACTGCGCCAGGGCCTTTGCATAGCCTTGCCTTTGCCATGTACTGCTCCACCCTGGTCTTCCATGGCTAATTTGCCTGTAGGAGGCCTTGGCCACCCTATTTGGAACTCTAGCTGCTCCCCCACTGCCATTCATCACTACATCATTTACTCCAAGGTTCCACCTTATCCATCTCCCTGCTGAAACGCCAGCTCTATAGACAAGGGAGTCAGGTCTGCTATGTTCACATCTAAAAGGGGTGCCAGGCAGTAGTAGGTGTTTAGTGCATACAAAGTGCAGGAATGAATGGAAGGAAACAGTCATGGGAAAATCTGGGTGGTTTCAGGAGCAGGCACAGCAGGTGCAAAGGCCCTGAGGTCAGAGGTATTCATAGCCACAGCTGGAGCCAAGCAAGGGAGGAGGCAGTGGGCAGAAGTGATTTGTACCATGATTAATCCAGGCAGATGGTGCGGGGTGGGGGTTGGGGGTGTTGCCCGAATCCTCTTAGCTCAAAGCCCCTAATACTTCCGCTGCCCGCTGCATGGGTCACCTCCGGGCCTTTGCTCCAGGCAGCTGCCATGCCGGGGCTGATGGGCGAGGAGGAGGCTGAGGGCCGGAGCCCAGGCCCACCCCTGTACGAGGACCACCGGCCCCCCCAGCTGGACGCCATCCGCCTGCCCCGGCATGTGCTCTACCTGCTGATGGCTGCGCTCCTGGTAGTGGCCGTGGCCTACGCCATTGTGGGGCACCTCATCAAAGATCTCGCCCACGACCTGGCCGGTGAGCGCTGCCCTCCACGCGTGTGGCCAGGGACAGGGGTCCTCAGGCCCCTTCTGGGCAGGGAGGGCTGGGGAAAGGAAAGGGTGGGGGGCCTCACAGGTGTCCCTGCTGCAGACTGGGCTTTCGGCCCGAAGCCGGACCAGGAGGACGGCCCCCTGGAGCTCTGTGCCAGCCTGGCTGGTGAGGACCTGGAAGAGCTGGACCTGCAGCTGGCCTTGGCCTGGCGGGGCGATGACGCCGGTAGAGGTGGCCAGGGGGCCCCCTCGGAAGCACCTTCCAGGATCGCTGGCGCCCCTCCATCGCCTTCAGGGCCCTACTGGTCCAGAGCTCCTGGAGGCTGGGCTGAGCTGGGCTGTGGCCGTAGACAGCTTTGTGCCCTGGGCCTTTTCTGCACAGAGACCCGCATGGCGCCATACCCTGCAACCCACTCCCCCAGCCCCAGCCACGCTGTAGGCAATCTGTAAATGGACACTAAGACATTTTTTAAAATTAAGAGTCATCAGCCTTTTCTTTGTGGTACTGCAGATTGCACTGAGCTCCATTCCCAGCCCTTATTTTGAGACAAGTTTTCGCCAAGTCACCAAGTGGTCCAGGCAGGGCTCCAACTTGCAGTCCTTCTGCCTCAGCCTCCCAGAGTGCTGGGATGACAGGTGTGGGCCACTGTGGCCGGCTTCAAGCTTTTCCTAGTCCCTGCTCCTGTGCTAAGTATGCCCACTGTTCATGCGACCTCACTGAATCCTCCCATGTAGGACTTACAGCTCCACCTGACAGCTGGGGACACTGAGGCATGCCTTGGTGAAATGGCCCCACTCTTCAGTGGAGGGGACTGTCACAGAGCTATGCTGGGTGACTCACCTGGAAGGCAGCTCTGAGGCAGGGTCCCACCTCCCCTACAGCTGTGCATCTCCTCCGCCCCCACCCAGGCTGCCATGTCTGGGGGGGTTCTGATTTCCCAGGGGATGCAGGGTGCCAAGGTGCCCTTCCTTTTGGAGCTTTGCACAGGGTGGGGTACACAGTAGGAGCTTAATAGCATCTGCCTAGCTGAAGTTGGCACATGGTTTATCCCAGCTCTGCCTTGTCCTCCACCTGCACCGTGGGGACCCTTGGGCCTCCCTTTCATGTGCCCTGGCCATGACAGCCAGGGAGGGGTCCCCCTTTGCCTGGGAAGGGCTCACTATCTAATCAAGCCAAGGACCAAGGTTGAGGACAGAAGAGCCAGAGCCTGAGTCATCTCTTCTCATGGGTGTCCCCAGTTCTGTAGCCACACACAGTCCAGGGTCGGGCGTGGATAGTGGCCTATGGCCTTGTGCTTTTGGGTCCCCAAGACCGGGAGCCTGGTGCACTCATATAAGCTGGTAGCCAGCAAGACCCTGCTTCATATCCCCGCTCTGATAGGGGCTGGCTGCCTGGGGTCCCATGGGCTCTGTAAAATAAAGTTGGCAAAATGTTGTGGATAGAGTAGCTGGGCTCCGTGGCTCATGCTTGTGATGCTGGCACCTTGGGAGGCTGAGGCAGGAGGATCTCAAGTTCCTGCCCAGCCTAGACAGCTAAGCAAGAGCTTGTCTCAAGGTAAAAAAGAAAAAGACTCGAGGGTGGAGCTGTGTGGAGTGCTTGCTGAGCTTGTGCAAGGTGCTGGGTTCCATCCCCTGCACCTCCCCAAAATTTGGGTGGCCAAGAGAAGGGACTAGGATCTCCAAAGTCACAGAGCACGGAGCCTTGTGCACCCTGCAAGCCACCAAGAGTGACTGTGATATTCCCGTTGGATTTGTGAGCTCACACAGCAGGGGCAGGGGCCCGGAGGGGATGCAAGGTCGAGCCCAAGGTCATTTTAGCCAGGTCCCCGAAGCAGCAGGGACGCTGGGGATCCCGAGGGGCCCCTGAGGCCCTCGGTTCCCGGGCGTGGTGCAGGGCCGGGCGGAGTCCGGAGGAGTTAATGTTACACCGGGTCCAGAGTCTGCTGGGGGAGCGGGGCGGGACGGAAGGAGGGCGGCCCTCCACTGCAGCCCCTTATCTCTCCTGGCAACCGGGGCTCGCTCACACCGGGCTGGCGCGGACCTGTCGCTGGAGGCCATGAGCGCCCTGGGGATGCTGCTCGTGCTGGCGACCTTGCTCCTGCCGTCTGTCCAGGCCCAGCAGGGTAGGGCGCTGGCGGGAGGGGGGAGGGGGTTGCGGGGGTCCGTTCAGTCCCCACTTTCCACAACCGAGAAACTGAGGCCTGGGCGAGACACCTCCCATTTCCTCTGGGCTCTCCCTGCTCCCTCAGCCCCTCCGCAGCCTGGGCCCCCTCCCCTCTCCAGACCCCGCCCCTCTCCAAGATTCCCCTCTTAGGCCCTCCGGAGCCCTGCTTCTGAGTTTCCCTCCCCACCAAGCTGTTCTCCTCTCTGATCCCCTTGGGGACCCCTCCTCCTCTGGCCAGCTTCTCTTTTATAAGCCCCCTCCAAGCCCCTTCCCTCTGAGCCCCTCCTCCTTTATCAGCCACGCCCTTCTGCCAGCCGCCTCCTTTATAACCCCCCTCCCAAGCTCCTCCCCATCCCCACCTTTTTCACGAGCCCCGCCCCTCACTGCTCTATGGCCCGCCTCTTCCTAAGCCACGCCCGACCCGAAGTTCCTCTCAGCCCGCCTCCTTAAAAGCCCCTCCCAAACCCCTCCCCTCCGCCCCTCTGTGCCCTTCTTCCTTTGTAAGTCACGCCCTCTAGGCCCCGCCCTTTGGATCCCCGCTTCTTTTATAAGCCCCACCCTCTCCAAGCTCCTCCCCTCCTGAGAACCCCTCCCCCTCTCTAGGGAGTCTCTGAGGTCTCCCCAGGACCTTTGTCCCTCTCCCCTACCTCTGAGCCCCACCCCATCCTTGGCAGCCACAGAACGTCACCTGAAGCCATGGCTGGTGGGCCTGACGGCGGTTGTGGTCTTCCTGTTCATCGTCTTCGTGCTCTTACTGGCCAACCGCATCTGGTGCTCCAAAGCCAGGTGGGGACCCCGCTCCACCCGGAAGCCCGCCCTCCCCGGACAGGCCCCCACCCCTCCTTCCCGGGTCACCCCTGCCAAAGGTCAGCTCCTTTTCCTGCTCCTGCTTGGACCCTGGGCCTGCACCTGTCCAAGAGCCAGGCAGCCCACCCCTGCTTTCTGGAGTTCATGAGCCCTGGTGGGGGAAACTGAGGCCCAGCCTATGCTTAACTCCTGCCCTTCCCCCAGTCTCATGGCCCTGTCCACATCTGCAGAGCCGAGGATGAGGAGACCACCATGAGAATACAGCCCAACCCTTACGAGAGCATGGGCCCAAGGTACTGTCCATGTGAGCGCGTGTAGACTTGTGTGGTGTAGGGGACTGAGGCCCCCCTTACAATTGGGGGGTTGCACAGATGACCTCTTTCTGGCCTCCATCACCTCCAGTGCTCACGTGCCCCCGACCTTTGCACATGCTGTTCCTGTTAATTATGCCTTTCCCTCTACCTCCTGGCTGGCTCCTCCTCCTCCTGCTCGGGAGTTTGGTCCACATAGAGAACCACTCGGACCACCAGCCCTCCTTCCCTGGCACCAGACCTGCATCTTTTCTTCTTCACACTTAGCCACCAGCTGAAATGCTCCTAGTTATTCACGGGTGTCACCGCACTTGATGATGGCTTCCAGCATGCGAGAACTTAGCTTGGCTGGCACACAGTAGGCCCTCGGTACCCACTGGACAAGACCACCAGTGTGGGACAGGCTCTCTTGGTCTCTGTGTCTGCTAAGGATGAAGGAAGGACCTGGGAGTGTGGTCAGGGCTGGGGCCTCTGCTGGGGCCCAAGCTTGAACCGAGAAGGGAGGGGCTGGGGAGGGGCCAACCTGCCTGGGACTTGAAGTGGAGGCTCAGATGTGCTGAGGGGGCTGTGGACCTGAGGGTCCAGCTCAGCCCCAGTGAAGTGGGTTCCTGCTCCCCAGATGAGCTGAGGACCAGATCCCAGCTGCACTGCTAACTGGTCTCTCTCCCTGCTTCCACTCACCCATCCACCTCTCCGCCTGCCTATGCAGTCAAGTCCCCTATCCACCTGTCCACCCAACCACTCACCCGCCCAACCACCCATCTGTCCATGTGTCCGTCCATCTACCAGTCCACCCGCCTGCCCCTACAGTGGCTCTGTAGTTCTCTGCCTTTGTGGGCAGGACTCCTGCAGCCTCTCCACCCATGCACCCCTGGTCCTGCAGCCCAGCACAGGTGCATGTCCATGAAATAGAAGCAACTATGTGTATTATGGTCTGGAGCCTTTGTGTCCCTCCAGGAAAGACAGCAAGAAGGAGAAGAAACAGAAGAAAAAGGAGAAAGGAGGGGAGAGCAATTTGGGATTGGAGCTGGAAGAGAAAGAGCCCGAAGAGTATGAAGAGATCAAGACGAGTATGTGAAGATGCCCTGTCACTACTCCTGGCAGGGGCCCCCCCGGAGTGGCACTTTCCCACCCAGTGAGCAGCACCCCAAGCTTGAAGGCAGCGATGCCAACTGGGATCCGATTATGGAGACCTCAGGGCAGGGTTCTCCGGGACCCGGTCCCACTGGTGATTCTTATGCTTGGAGAGTATCCCTGCCTGGAGAAGCTGCTGTTTCCCCACAGTTCATGGCTCTGCGGGATTTATTTTCCCTCTGCCTGATCTCTTTTGGCCAGAACGTGCCTGTCTCATGCAGCCTTAGGGCCATATCGGCTAAAGGCTCGCTGTTGAGGCCCCCAATAAAAAAATCAGTCTGAGCTCTTTATATTTATTTAGCTTTTTGGGGGAAGGGGGTGAGACAGAGTCTCGCCATGTAGTCCAGGCTGCCCAGAAAGTGATCCTCCTGCCTCAGGCTCCTGGGTGGTGGGATGAAAAATGTGCACCACCACACTTGGCAATAGGAGCTTTTTGGAAGGGCTCTTGTTATCTCTCAGGACTCAGTTTCCCCCCTGGGAACAGCTGCCAGGGGTTGGCAATGCCTGGCCAGGAGGAGGGCTCAAACTTTGAAGTGCCCAGGTTACCAGGCTGGGGACATTATGTACTTGTGGTGCCAATCTTGTTTTGCTGAGCTGAGCCCTGGACTTTGAGCCTCATCTCCCGGGGAATCCTTGCTCCCTTGGGCCCCTTGGGTTTTTTTGGGCCATGTGACTGTTCTTGGAAGCTTGGAGGGTGGGGTGCCCCAGGGCCCTGTCATGTCCCAGAAAGGCCCAGGTTTGGCCCTCCCCGTTTCTTGTCTCCCCATTTTCTCCACTCCCTGGACTTTGCCCGGAACATTAACCTTTCCTTAATGAGGACCTTGATACAGGGCAGGCGTTTGGGGCTCCACGCTGGGGCCGGTTACTGGGGCGAGGGGAGCTTTGTCTGCGACACCTCCAGGATCGTCCACCAGGGGGCGGAAGAGCCCCAGATAATGAGAGGGACCAAGTCAGCGACACACGCTCTGTGCGACCACTTGAGCCGGGCGTAATGGCACACGGCTGTGATCCCAGCACTAGGGAGACTGAGGCGGGAAGATTGCTGCGAGTTCGAGGCCACCCTGGACTACATAGCGAGACCAAGTCTGGAAAAAAAAAAAAAGCAGGGCCTATGAGTGATTACAAAGCCTAGTGCTTTGAAGGTGGGGGCTCCACTGTCTCCCCACCCCGCTGTGTCCCACAACCGGCTGGACAAGGACAGGGAGAGATGGGCCGATCCCAGGACACCCGGCCAGTCCTCCTTTCTTGAACCCGTGGCCAGGCCCAATCTTGTAAGACATGGGGGTGGGGGGCAGGGACCCCAACCTTGCTGCCTGCCATTGCCTGGCCCTGTTCTCCACCCAGTGGCCAAAAAATAATTTGCCCCTCCTCCTCTTCCTCGTGTTGCCCACCTAGTGCAGCGAGTCTGTGACAGGCGGAGCCCTTCCTGCCCTGGGGGGGGGGGCAGGGAGTCTCTTTTAGACTCGGAGGCTCGAACCTTACTGTGAACCCAATCCCTAATATGTGTTTCAAATGGGATTTGCGATATCCTTATCACCCGTCCCATCCATTTACCCTGGGCCTGTTTATCCACCCATCCCTTCCTCTCTTGCCTCCCTTCTTTCTTTTTTCCACCCCTCCATCCATTCCCCTTTCTACCATTCATCCATCCCTTGATCTATCCATCCACTCATACTTACAATCCATCCATCCATCCATCTACCACCCACTCATCTGTCCATCCAGCTGTCGCGAGCCACGCACACCCACCCACCCATCTACCAACCATCCATCCAACCACCCATCCACCAAACACCCACCCACCTGTCCGTCCACCCACCCATCCATCCATCCCTTCCTCCAACCATCCATGCCTCCATCCATCCACCTTTACCTGGATAAGCCCCTGACCCGGGCCAGCCCTTGCCATTGGCTGAGCTTCGACCCCGGCTGACCTCTCCCTCTGGTTGCTGAAGGTGCTGGGGAAGCGGAGGAGAGCCCGCCCCCCTCCATGGACTCTGATGCTGGGCTAGAGTCTGCGTCTGACCACAAGAGGGCGCCGGAACTTCGCTGCTGAGAGCAACCGGGCCCACCCCTCCCGCGGATGGGAAAGGGAAGGAATGCCTGGCTCTGGCGCCACCCACCCCATCGGGAGCGCGTCTTCTGCGGCTGTCACTGGGCGGTGCCCTGTCAGATGGGCATAGTGTGCCTGAGGCCTATCAACGAGTCTTGCCGCCTCCTTTCTGCCTCAGTTTCCCTATCTGAAGGAAAGGCAGAATGATCCCTGCCTTGAGGTTTTGTAGAGGGGATGGAACAGCCCCGTGCAGCAGAGAACTTTGCTTGCTCATCCTGAGGTTACCTTGTGGGTTGCTGGGAGAATTGGCCTAGTGGGCAGGAGGGGGACCCCATCCAAGATCGCAAGACGTGACTGGTCCGACCTTGTGGCCTCCCTCCTCACCCCCAGCCTCCCACACACCCATCCACTCACCCGCAATCCATGCACCCATTGCCCCATCCATCCACCCGCCCTGGCTGGAGGAGGCAGCCGGGCCTGGACACGTCTAATTCTGAGTGCACCAGGAGACACTGGGCATACAGGGTACTCAGAAGGTCAGCAGCAGTTCTGCTGGGCAGGTGGGGAAGGATTCCTGGAGGAGGAAGAGGAGGAGGAGGAGGACCAAGATAGGGATAGGTCCCCTCCCTCCTCTGCCCTCTATGGCTTTCCCCTGCCTTGGGATCAAAGCCCAAGTCCTCCCTGCAGCCCACAGGGCCCTGCACAGCCACCTGTCCCCTCCCTGCCTCCCCTCCTCCCTCTCTGCCCTAGCCACACAGGTTCCTCAATGTTTCTGTACCACACCAGATTCTATGCTGCCCCAGGGCCTTTGCACAGCTGTGCCTCTGACTGGAACACACTCCCGGCAGATATTCAGGGCACTCACTACATCCCTTCACTTAAGCCTCTGTATAAATGCTGCTCCTTTTTATTGTCACTGTCCTTCCTGTCTGTCATGACAGAAGGCGTCAGCTCCAGAGGCAGGCCATTGGGGCATCTTCTCCCCTGCACTGTCCCAGGGTCTGGCGCAGGTTCCAGCAGATGCTTAGGCAGCCCTTTCAGGAGACTGGAAAGGGACCCTGCACAGGTATGGAGCTCGACTGCGTGCCAGGCCGTCCCACTGAGGGAAGAGGTGGGGTCCGGGGCCTCTCTGTGGGGGACTGTGGGGTCCACTGATCCAATCCTTGAGGATCGGAAGCTCCTGGGGAGCACTGACAGCCCCTCAGCCCCGGCACCGAGGTCCTGGGCCCCACTGTGCCCCTTCCTGGCCCTCGGCTGCCTCCGCACCAGGACCACCCCAGTCCTGACAGCCACACGGGTCCTCAACCTTGTGGGACGTCCCCCGGGGCACCCTAAGTTCGTGGGTCCCCACGTCCCTGCCCCCCAGCCGGACGCAGAAAAGAGGACTCCACAGTCCAGCAAGAGTCAAAGCATAGCTTGTTTAATTTTTATACATTTTCCTCTTTTTTTTGCCTTTTATTGAATCTTTTATGGAACCCCCTTTTTTCAGTTTTTTTTTGTGTATGTGTTTTGTTTTGTTTTTTGCATAGGGAAACAAACAAAATAACAGCCAGAGTCACTTTCCGTAAATGGTGCTCAGGCAGGCGGGCGGCGGAACTGAATGAGTGCACGTGTACACGGTTATGATCGCACGGGTCCCGTCCCCGGCCCTGCCACGTGTGGTATGGGGACAGGGGATGGCGGGGCACAGGCCTAAGGGCGCCTTCCCCGCCCCGGGTTCTGAGCACAGGTGTGTGTGCGTGTGTGTGTGTGCGTGCGTGTGTGTGTGTGTGTTTCCGGGGTGGGAAGCAAGCAGAAAGCGAGAAAACAGAACTATCCTGGTATTATGAGTAAAATACAAAATGGATACAAGAACAACAATCTCAAAAAAAAAAAAAAAAAATCTCGGAGGGAAGATGAAAGAGAATCAACACCCGAAAATGAAGGGGGAAGAAAAGAGGGAAAGAGAAAAGAATCCATGGAGAGGAAAAGGCCGCCTCCTTCCTGCTGCCCCCAAGCTGAGCCCATCCTGCTGCGGCCCTCAGATCGCTGCTTCTCCAGGTGCTGGGGTGCACGGGCTGGCACCCCCAGACGTGCAAGGGGCCTTGGGTTCCGAGGGACAGCAGCCTGACAGGGACTTGTGATAGGAAGATGGGGTGCAGATGCGTTTGGGGGACAGGAGACTGGGGGTGCACGGCTTCCTCCCTCTCTGGAGCCCTGATCCCCACTGGATTCATCCTCTCCTTCCCGACCCCCTCCTCCTCTGTGCCGGGGTGGGGGGAGCCCCAAAACCACACCAGCAGACCTGTGAGGCACTGCTGGGAAAAGTCTAATTTGGTATCATGGGCAACAAGTTCGCGGTGTGGTTCTGACTCTGCCTCCCTGCCTCGTCTAGGGGCCGGGGTGATGGTCTGATCCCTGCACCCCGAAACACTCAGGGGGGTATGGAGCGGTGCGTGCGGGGAAATATCCGCAGAGCAGGAAGGGGGCAGCCGGTGAGGGTGACCTTGCTCCTGACCACTCCACAAAACCAAAGCGAGAGCCAAGTCGGGGTCTCAGAGACAGGTTTGGGCCGAGATCAAAAACAGCCACTGTGTCCCCTGCATTGTGAGAGAACAATGCCGATCCTGTGTATAAATGTTCGCATGCTCACTACAGCCTCCCTGCCCGGGGGAGCCAAGCGCCACAGAGGCCTGGACGTTGCAGTCTCGGGTGGCCCCAGGACCCTGCCTTGCGTGGGACGCTGTGAGTGGCCCTGCTTGCCTGTGCCCGGGATGCTGGTACCTCTGGGGACAATGGGAAGGGGACACTGGGCAGGTGGAGGCTGCTGGTGTCAAGGTGGGGAACCGCGTGGGGTCTAAGACAACTGCCCGGCCCCAAGCCTTCCCACGCCCCTCCGGTGCATTCCTGATTGTCTCCTGGCTCGCCTGACAGCGTCTGGGCCCAGCCGCGGGGACCCCTGGAAGCCCCTCTTCCCAAAGCCACGTGCTCTCACAGGGCCTCTCACGCCTCCACATGGGGACAGGGACTGGGGGATCTGCATCGATCTGGCACCTTTCTAGGCCCAGGGGTCGGGCGTGGCCTGCTGGGGCGAAGCATCTCGCTGAGGTGGGGGGTGGGGGTGACGGTGGGCTCAGGAGAAGCAGGTTTGAAAGGGTGTCAGTTTCACACGCAGAAGAGACAAAAAAAAAAGATCTGGTCCCCCCCACCCCAACGGCGCCATCCTATCCCAAACCTGGGGACCCCGGATGCAGGCCTGCGTGGGGGACCCCGGCTCCTGGCGTTTCTGCCTTGTTCTGCCTTGCAGCCCGGGACCTGGAATTATCACTCTGAGAAGACGGGGTGGGGGAGCCGAGGGGGCCCAATACCCCATGCCGAAAGGCTGCCTGGCGCGGGCCTGCCCTCCGCGCCCGAGGAAGGGCTCCGGGGCGTGCAGAGGTGACTTCCGGGAGCGTGGGAGAGCGACTCTGGGACGGGTGTGCGTCCCGAGGGGCGAGGGAGGGTGGGTGTGGACCCTGCACGCCTGGGCCTGGGTGGCTCGGCCCGCTGACCCCAAACACCTGGCTACTGTCTAAGCTTTGGTCAAGATCAAAGCAAAGGAAGCTGGAATTAAAGAAGAGAAAGGAAAAAGCAAGAACAAGGAAAACAAATCAAAGACAAGACAACATCCTGGCCGGCTGCCCGGACAGAGCCCTGCGACTCAGGGTCCCCCATGTCCCTCCAGAGGCTGAGCACGGCCCCAGTATGGACAGACAGATATTGCATATATGGACGGGTTTTTGTCTTTCATAGCAGACGCTCTTCATTTTCATAGCTGGAAGACGGAGTTCGGGGACTAGGGCGCGGAGGCCCCCCCAGGCTGTCTCGGGATTGGTGGGAAGTAAGGTGCTTTAGTGAGGAGGACGGGGTGCACAGGGCGGGGCAGAGGGGTTGCCGGGAGGGCGGGGCGAGTGTTGGACCCCGACCCCCGGGGTCGCCAGCCTGACTGGGGGGGGGATGGGGGGGTAGGGGCGCCCTGGGCCCAGCGACATCACAAAGCCGCCGCCTCAGGGCCAGGGCGCGCCCCTGAGGTCTGACCCCGGGGACCCCGGAGCTGGAGGTGGCAGAGTGAGCACCAGGGACCGACCACCCCCACTGCGACCGAGCCGGGGTGCGGCGGGGTGCGGGGTGCAGGGCAGACCGCAGGGGCGGGGGGCGGGTGTAGCTTACTTCATAGCAATTTTCATCTTTTTTAAAAAAAATTCTCATTTTCTTATTCATTTATTTTTTCTTACAAATAGAAATACATCCCTTTTCAATTTTTATTTTTAATTTTATGTCATTGTTTTCTCTTTCTCTCTTTTGCTTAACTACACGTGCATTTCATGCAACTGTGCGGATATTGTTTAAAGGTAATAATACTTATTCTCCAAGGCAAGGCACGTCATGTGGTAGAAAATTTCGTGCAAATTAGGAAAAATGGAAATTTTCGTAAAGGAATTTTTTTTTTTTTTTTTTTTTGTGTGTGTGTGTTTTTTAGGAGGAGGTGAGGGTGGAGGGCGGGAGGCAGGAGGGAGACAGAGCCAGGTATAATCTGCCATGCAGGCCGCCAGCCGCTGCGAGCTGGGGCAGGAGCCGGGTCGCCGGGCCCTAAGCACCATGCAAAGTTAGGTAAAGAGTTGGTTCTCATCGCACCTGACCCTCAGTGGGCCTGGCTGGGGGCTGCCAGGTGCACCCCTCCCACCCCGCCTCCCCCACCATGGCTGAGAAGCTGCCAGGCCCGGACACCGGCAGGAACTTAAGTAGCCCCTGCCCTCCCCGACAGGACAGCAGCCCACCCTTCGGTCCCCAAGGGCCACCTGGCCCTGAGGACGGACGGACGGATGGATGGAGGGTTTGCATACTGCACTGGGTCACAGGGGCACGAAGGGGACCGGGTGGGGTCCAAGGTCCTGGGTCCTTCTGTTTGCTGGCCGGAGTGGGCGTGCCGAGGCCCTGGGGCTGGTTTGGGAGGAGGGCCCGGGTCCTGGGGCCCCGAGAGGGGTGGAGGGCAGGGCTGGGGTGGACAAGACAGGGACCCCTGCCCTGGACAATGGCTTTGGCCTAGGATGGCCGGGGGTCGGGGGCATTTATTCCCTAGCGCCAGGCGTGATGGAGCTGGGCAGGGGCTGGGCCAGTAGGGGCCCTGTGTTGGGCTTGGAGGCCAAAGACACCGAGCCCCCTCTTCCCAGCAATGGGTGTGGATGGGGCTGGGGCGGAGCCGGGTCAGGGGGCACCCGGTGACCCCAGCTTAGTGTTTTTGGAGCAGCTCAACGGAAACCCTTTAGCAGATGGGCGGCTCCCCCACTGGCTGGCCCCCAAGACCCCGATCCGATCCAGGGTCTGAGTGGGCCCCCGTCCTGGACCGGCCTCCTCTCTCCTTCTGGGGGCCCCGGCTGCGACGCACCCCCTCCACCGTGCCCCATTTGGGGGGATGAAAGTGCAAACGGCGGCCCCCCAGGCAGCCGGGGACACGGGAGGGGGCGTCTCTCCAGGATGTAAGGCACTGGCGGGGGAGGGGCATCCCCAGAACCCGCCCCCGCGCTGCCCCGGGGGAGGGGTCCCGTCCCTAGCTGGGGGGGCTCTGAGATGGGGCGGTTGGGGGGCGTGAGGGGGTCCTCGCGACTGGACCGAGGGGGGCGGGCGGTGGGGAATCAGGCACTTAAACCACTTGCTGTCACCTGCCAGTCCAGACGGCACCCCTCCTCCCGGACAGCGCCCCCTCGGAAAGTGCATGGCGGAGAGTGTGCAACCAGGGGCCCGGGCGGCGGGCGGTTGGGCGGGTGGGGCGCAGGGTGGCCTGGTGCCGGCGGGGCGGGGGTCAAATTGCATAGATGTCTCCTCCCAAAGGGGGTGGGCACCACAAGGCCCCCGAAATCGGGGACCCCAGCGCCAGAGAGCAAGAGCGAGTCCTTCGGGAGGGGCCAGGTGAGCCTGCAGGACCCCCACTCCCCGGTGTCCCGAAGTACCTGCGTGGCTGGGTCCTTCTCCGTGGAGGGCGGCGCACCCTCTCCCGCCGCCCTGCCCAACTCCGAGGTCTCTGCGGCCGAGGCCTGGTCCTCGCTGTCCCCCGACCCTCCGGCCAGCACCTGCCTCCCTCTTTGGCAAACACCGTTCGTGGGGCCGGCGACGTCCCCGCGCCCCTTCCGTCCGTCCGTCCATCCGGGCTCACCTGGTTTCTGGGCGGCGAGGGGTCCTGGAGAGCGGGCGGGTGGGCGACGGGGAGATGTCCCGGGCCGATGCCCCGAGGGGTGGCTGGGCCCTGCAGTCCTGCGGCTGTGGTGTCCTCAGCGCTGGAAACGGTGCGGTCTTTACCTTTTGTCTTCTTGGTTGGGTGGGGTTTTTTTTTTCTTATTTTTTTGTTTGTCTTTTTTTTTTTTTTTCCTTTTCTCCCCTCTTTTCTTTTCCTTCTGCGTGCATAGGTCTGTGTGGTGTCTTTTTGGCCGGGCTGGGACTCGGCAGGGTGCTTTTTGCTCGCTCTGATTTTCCACCGAAAATGTGGGCAGGGGGAGGGGGGGCTGGCGGTGCTGCCCCGAGATGCCCGGGATGATGGAGGAGGCGTGGAGCCAGCGGAGACCTCGGCTACCCCAGGTACCAGGACTGCCACCATCGGGCACGGAGGAGAGAGAGAGGGGGTGGGCGTCAGGCTTGACCGCAGACTGAATGGCCCCACACCGCCCACCTCCTCCCACCGCACCGCATCGGTTTCCCCGGCCAGGTGACCAGCTGGGTGACCCTGGCCACGTGACTTTGGCTCTGAACAAGGCTGTGGCTAAAACACAGGACACCCAGTGAGGCCGAATTCTGGGTAAACAATGCACGATTTGTTTAGTGTAAGAATAACCTATGCAATCTGGTGATAAGTTTATCCGCTCGATATAAGTTTATCCCACACAATTCAGGGAGGGATTCAGTATAAGCAGACTCGGTCCAGTTTTGCAGGATGAACTTACACAGTGCGTCCCATGCAACTTCAGGGGTCTAGTACCTTCCATGGGGATTTGGGGGTCTACATACATATATGGCCGATACAAGTCCATCCATACAATTTTGGAAATGTACCATGGTAAAAGTGCTCAGTGTGTCTGAAATCCAAATGGTACGGACTGTTGCGTATTTTCATCCTGTGATTCCAGCAACCTGGCCTCAGAACCTCCTTGGCCTACGTATGAAGTGGGGCTGGGGGGAGGTTTTGGGGAGAAGGGGACATGGTCCCACCCTCTGCCCAGCTCCAAGATATGAGGCAGAGTGGGACACCACCTTACCTAGGTACTGTGACCAAGGCCAGCTATTATTTCTCTTAACAATCCCTCCCTAGGTCCTGACCCCCAGAACCTCCCTCCGTGAGGGGGACCAGGTCTCCTCCTCCTCACACTGTCAGTGATGGACACGGGACTTAGTGATGCCGAGCAACTCGCCCCAGGGTGACCACCATGAAGGTGGCAGAGTAGGGATTTGAACTCAGCCCTGTCAGGCTCCAGATCGCTTATGTGCAGCCAGCCCCCTGGCCTGGCTCTGGGGACTCCTTGGGCAGTGTCTGGGGTACCACCCTGTCATAGAGGCCCCCAAAAGGCACTTGATAATCTGGCCTGCTGCATTTGTGTCCTATTTTACAAAGAGGACATTGGGGCCCATGGAGCATCTGGGGAGGCCCTGTCCCATCCAGTCTAACCGAGGGGGCCTGGGGACCCTTGTTCCCCCACCTGCTGAGCCTGGCTGCACCCACCCTGCCACCCCACTGCATCCAGGCTGGCAGGCCACTCTATGGAGCTGACGCCACTGTGCTCCCAGCCCCCACCTCCAGCCAAGTTCAAGTTCATCTCGGCCATTACCTCATGTCTGGTTTCCCTTGGCAACCAGACAGGCTCTGGGCGTGACCCTCCTGGTGGACGGAGTCTCCCCTGGCCTTTCCTCCCTGCCCTCAGCTCCTGGGGCAGCTGTCTGCCTGGCTCTCACCCGAGGAACAGGGGAGGGGGTGAGGTAGGGCACCCCATGCCCACCTCGGGTGGTAGGAGGCCAAGGGAGTGCAGTGTGGGGCCGGCTGGGTGCTCGGGCAACCCCGGGAGACCTTGGTGGCCAGTGGCCCTGGGCCTGTGGCTTCACCCTCTCACCCTGTCCACTGCCTGTGGGGTGAAGGTGCCGGGGGCAGCTGCTGAGTACAGCACTGTGGGGGTGCAGGGCAGGTGGGGTCACACCATGGGCCACAGTGATGGGCTCTGTGGAGAAGGCAGCGCCCACCCAGGGGTAGGCCAACGGGTACTGATCGGGGGGCGGGCAGAGCTGAGGAAGGGCACAGATCAGGCGAGTGATCGATGGGGCACAGGTCTGAGTCAGGTATCGATCAGGGGAGGGCACAGATGGGGCCTCTGCTGGGGCTCAGGCGCTGGGGGAGCCAGTGGAGCCTGGCAGGCTGCAGCGTGGGGAGGAGGAGACAGAGCAAGGCCCAAGGCCGCCAGGAGTAACAAGGGCGAGCTAAGGGAGTGCTGACTGGGCAGAGCGGGCGCTGTGGCCCAGGGGTCTGCACTGTACCCTCTCAGCCACCCTCCCTCCGGGCCTGCAGGAGGTTGTGTCGGGGGCGGCCCTACACTACCCCACCAGGGTCCTCCCCTTCCTGGACATCATCACGGGGACCTCCCTCTCCACCGTCTGCCACCTCCCTTCCGTGCCCTCAGGAAGTTCCTCCCACCCGCAGACTAGGCTGTGCCCCTCCCTCTTTCTAAATCCATCCGTGGCTCCCTACTGTCCCCGGGGTCAAGCCTAGGTCCATCTGTGCCAGCTGCCCAGGGTCTTTCACACTCAGGAGACCCCGCCTTTGCCTGTGCTGAACCCCCTAACCTCCTGCCCCAACACCACCCTGGCAGCCACCAGCCGTGAGCCCAGCCCTGGTGGCGTAGGGGGTGCAGCAGCTGGGAAACTGAGTCCCATGGAGAGGGTGAGGAGGCTGCCTCCTCCCTCCCCCTTTTATTAGCTTTTGTTTCTGAAGCTGGGACTTCCCAGCCTGTGGGGGGTGGGACAGACAGCACACAGGGCTTCGTCCAGGGGCTGGGGGGTGCTGGGGGGCTTCCTGGGAGGAGCCTGAGGCCCAAGACAGAGGTTTGGAGTGGGTGAGGCAGAACCAGGCTGGAGCCTTGGTCTCCGGACTCCAGGGACCCCCAGACCCCCAATACACCAGTCTCCCCCAAACCCAGGAGAAGCGGCTGGACACCTCCAGCTTCCACCCTGGCTGGATCCTTGTCAAGGAGGGGAGGGGCTGCCTCAGCCCGGGGTTCCCTGGGACCAACACCGTTTGTGGGGATCCCAGCATCCCTCACTGAGTGCAGGCAGCCTTCAGGAACCCAGTTCTCTCTGAGCCTTCTGAGGGGCTGGGCCCTGCTGTTACCCACCCGGGCACTGTCCTGGGAGGTCCCACCCCTTGCTGTCCGCTGCCTCTGTTTCCCCATCTGGCCTAGTGATCCGGCGGCAGCAGCAGTGGTGGCGTGGAAGGGGACGGAGGCTGGGGCGGGATGGGTCCTAGCTGGCGTGCTGTGTGACCACAGGGAAAGCCACTTTCCTCTCTGGGCCGAGATCTCCCCGTCTGTACAGAGGGCTCCCCAGCTCCGTCACTAGGGGAAGCCCTGGGCATGGGCTGTGACTCGGCCCCCCAGGCTGGCCCCTCTGCCCTGCCCCCCACCCCCGCCAGCCGGCCTCTTGGCCCCTACCTGTGCCTGATAAATGCCCGCAGGATCCCTTGGTCCTAATCCCACAAAGGAACGGTTTGCAGGGGGCGTGTCGGGCGGAGCGTAGGCTGCGGGGAGGAGAGAGACCAGAGCCCGTTAGCGAGGGGGCCGGCCGGGCCCAGAGAGGGTGCCCACTGCCCGGGGTCACACAGCCAGCCCGAAGCACCCAGCTCCCGTGGCCTCCGAGCCTATTGCCCTCTCCCTGGGGAGCCGGGGGATCCTGTCTCGAGGGGTCCCAGGGCGCAGGGATCACAGTCAAGGTGGGCAGGTGGCAGGGTGGGGGAAGGCAGAGGATGAACGATTCATAACTCAAAACCCGCCGTGAATTATTCAGCACATTCCGCTGCTGAGCGGGCTGCATCCCGTGTCGGGCTCCCTGAATTATTGAGGGCGCTTTATTTATTAATTTTCCTCCTGGAAAACCCCGGGCGAGGCTGGTGTCTGCACATCTGCTGCCTGCTTCTGAATCTCACCGGGCATGCTCCGCCCTAACTAAGGAGCTCAGAGCCCAGGGTCATGCGGGGGCGCGCATGTGTGCATGCGCATGCGCTGGGGACCCCAGTGGTGCCCAGGGGCCACAGGCCGGGTACCCACAGAACCCCGGGTAGGGGAGGACAGGGGACCTGAGCTTGTTCTGCGTCTACGCTACGCCAGGTGCTCGGCGGAGTTCATCGCTCAGCTCTGTTTCTGGTGGAGCCGGGGTCAGAGCCGGGCCCTGTGAGCCAGGCAGGCGCTGCCCACGGAGCCGTGCCTCCTCCGCTCTCCTCCACCCCAGGGCCCCTCGCCAGCTGTCCCCATTTCCCAGATGCGCAGGGGTAGACAGTCAGCGAGAGCCGTGGGCGGGACCGGCCCGAACTGCCCAGGCGCTGCCGCCCGCTGGGCCCCTGCTGCCCTGCCAGTCAGGCGCCCGGGCCGGCGTTCTGGGGCGCAGGGGACCGCAGCTCAGGAAAGGAAGGCGCCTGCCCGAGTCACACGGAGCCCAGGGCCACTCCAGGGCCGGCCTCGGTTCAGGAGAGCCGCCCTGGGCGTGGTAGGGTCTGCCAGAGGAGGGGTCACGACCCCCTCACCCCCGGGACAAAGCCCAGCCCTGGAGCCAACGGAGCATGGGCTGAGGGGGGCACGCAGGGGCAGGGGGCCGGGGCAGGGGGGTCTGTCCCATCTGCAGTGTCGCCCACCTTGGGTGCCCCGAAGGAATGGGGCTCTGTGTGACCTGTTTTTCGCCCCACGAATCTAGAACTATGGAAATTTTACGTGAAACGCTCCGATTTTAAAATGGTACCAAGAAGGTCTCACTTTTCACAGACATAAGCTTTCTGGGGGCCGGGGTGGGCTCTTGGGCAGCCAGTTTGAGACCTGGCTGCTTTTATTTTTCTATAGTGCTGGGGACTGAACTCAGTTTTCACATTGAGCTGCATCCCCAGCCCTTTTTGGAAATTTTGAGACACGGTCTCCCTAGGTCACAAAGTTCCCCAGGTTGGAACTTGCGATTCTCCTGCCTCAGCCTCCCAGAGTGCTGGGATGACAGGTGCACTTGGCCAGGTGCTTATGGCGTGGAGGGGGCACTTCTAGAAACCCGGTGGGAACTTGGTGAGGACAGACCCAGGACTGTCACCCTGGCCCGTGGCGTGGTCCTGCTGCCCCTGAGGCTACCCTGCCCCGTGTGGCCCCGGATGCTCTCTGGGCCCCCAAGTTCGCCCGAGCCTGCAGGACTGGGCAGCAGGGCGGGGAGGGCCCCGAGGGCAGGGGCACGCTGGCTCCCGCGTGCTTACTGGGCGAGATCTGCGGTGTGGCTCGTCGCTGGGAGGTGGCAGTGGGTTTGGTAGCCGGGGACAGCGCCAGGGGCGGAGGGGCCAGCATCGAGGTGGGGACGCAGTAACTGGACATTTTGAGCTGGCCACTTCCGTTTAACTGAGGGGGGACAGAGAGACACGTGGTTAAGGGGGTGGGCGTCCCCTCCACCTCGGGATGCTGGCACCGACGTCCCCAGCTCTGTGCACAGGGCCTGCGGGCCACAACCGGTCTGGTGGGGCAGAGGACAGCCAGCCCTGGAGGTGCCTGGAGCCACCGTGACCCCGGGTACTGCTGGGGTCACATGTACCTCATCTTAGGCCACCTGTGCCCGGACCCGCTTTCCTCCCTAGCGATGTCACCACGCAGCAAACCACACCACCAGATGTCTTCCTAAATGGCTCAGACGGCACAGTGGGCTGTGACCTTGGCCACCGCTTCAAGTTCAGAAAAGTTTGGAATGCCAAAAACTCTAGGAAAGCTGAACAAACCTGCCTCGGGCTGAGCCTGGCTGAGTGTTTCCTTCCTGCCTGGCTCCTTCCCACCCGCCCTGGTTCCGTTCTGCAGCCCTAGGGATTGAACCCCAGGCCTTCGCACTGAGCTCCATCTCCAACCCTGTTTATTTTTTATTTTGAGACAGGGTCTCACTAAGTCACCAAGTTCCCCAGGCTGGGCTTGCACTTGCGATCCTCCTGCCTCAGCCTCCCACAGTGCTGGGATGTCAGGTGTGCGCCATGGCCAGCACGGCTGCTTTTCTGTCCAGTCCCTACCACCCCATGTAGCTTGTACTCTGCACCACTGGACTCTATGAGCTCAGTGGGGGCCGGCAGGGCCCTGCTGCACCCTAAGTACCATTAACTGCAACATCTGGAAGAGTCTAAATCCACTGACCCAAACCAACCAACTCTGGACCTGTGCTTCAAAAACCAGCTCAAACAGGAGTCGTGCATTTCAGCATGGCCGATCGCTGCAGCAGGGGTCCCCAGGGTCGCCTGGGGCCACTGAGAGGCCTGCGCCCCTGCTGCGTGCACTCACCGGTCCGGGCTGCTGGCTGGCCGGGTCGCAGGCCAGCGAGACGAGATCTTTGAGTGGGTCCTGGGGGTTGAGGTGGGGTGGGTAGCGGATGGCTGTGTGCGGGAAGTAGGTGGAGGCCGTCTGGGGCAGGATGGAGGTCGTGGGGAAGTGCAGGGCGGAGGGCGGGTGGGGACTCCGGGTGATCCCTGCAGAGACAGCAGAAGGCAGTGGTCAGGCCCATACCCACAACTGTCAAGATGCTGAGTGTGATGAGCACGGGCGGGTGGCAGCCACAGGCCGCACACGTACGGACCCCACAGCAAGCCCCTGGCGTTCCCACTTCGCTCACGTCTTTTACACTTCCGCAGTCCTGGGATGGAACCCAGGGCCTTCACACTGAGCTACGTCCCCAGCTCTTTTTATTTTTTCTTTTGAGACAGGGTCTCAATAAACTGCTACGTCACCCAGGCTGGGCTCAAACTTGCCATCCTCCTGCCTCAGCCTCCTGGCTAGGATTACAACCAGGCGCCACCATGCCTTGCACTTTTGTAAAGAGAAGCCAAGGTGGCCCACAGAAGATATGTGACCTCCCAAAGGCCACACAGCAAGCAGGTGGCAGACCCAGGGTTTGGGCCCAGCAAATCTGGCTCTAGTGTCCACCGTCCGACCCAGGGGTCAGCAAGCTCTTTCTGTAAAAGGTCAGACAATAAATCTTTTTTTAAAAAAATCAAACATGGTCGGCCCCCTGTACACTCAGGGTCAACTCCAAGGACTCGATCAACCTTGGACGGAAAAGTTTTAGAAGAAAAAATAATTTAAAATAATGTATCACTCAGTGGTTCTGCCGCCTGCCTCACAAGCACAAGGACCCGAGTTCGATCCCCAGTACCAAAAAAATAAAATAAAATAATGTATCAAAGCCAGGTGTGGTGGTGCCCGCCTGTTATCCCAGCACTCGGGAGGCTGAGGCAGGGGGACTGCCGAGAGTTCAAGGCCAGCCTGGGCTGCACAGTGAGGCCCTGTCTCAAAACACAGTACTGAACATGCACTTTCCCTTGCGGGTGCCCCTCGACAATACGTGTCTTGTCCCCTCCATATGCAGCATTCACTGTGCCATGTGTTAGAAGCTGCCAGTTGATGGTTTAAAAAGGGGACAGCAGGATGTGCTACAAGAAGCCCTTAGACCGAGTGCCGCGGGTACTAAGGGTTGTACACCATGAAGTCACCTTGTTACAGTGCACGCTTCAGTAGTAGTTACTACTTTCACAGAGCTGTGTATCCACCTTTAATTCTGGAACATCCTGTCACCCAAGAAGGAAACCCATCTGTCCCCATGAGCAGTCACCTGTCCCCTCCCCACCCCTGGCACCCACCAGTCCACTTCCTGTCTCTGGATTTACCTGACCTGGGCATTTCCTGTCCACGGAGCCCCAGGCTGTGTGTCCTCTCATTGAGCACAGCGTCTTCAAGGTCCATCCACACTGTGGCAAGTGTCAGACCCTTGTGCCAGACCTCTTTTTCCTGGCTGAGTAATATTCTACGGTGGCATTTACTTGGCTTTCCCTAACCAGTTCAGTGACCGGCAGAATATTTACTCTGCAGCAGCCACGCCCTGTCTCTTCTGTCCCTGGCCCCTGAGCAGAATACAGACTTTTGGCTTTGGGCTGTTAACCAACTCTGCCCCCTGTGCAGAAGCAGCAGGTGTTGGGCTGTGTGCCAATAAAACTTTATCAACAAGAACAGCCAGCTAAGGGTCATCACTTGCCAGCTCCAGCCCCCAAGACAAGCTGTTCTGATTCACACTGGCTCCCCTCACCTGTCTCCTCCCAAAGGAGAGTCAGCCCCATGGGAGGGCCCCAGACTCCTCTCCTGGAACATGGCCAGGGCATTAATCAGCCCTGAGAGCCCTGAGGGTGATGACCTGGGGTTGCCGCACTGTCTTTGTCCTCCTGTCCCTTTAGAAGGGACGTGTATGATCCTGGGCACCCTGTCTAAGCCTTGGCCTGGATCTGGGAAGTGGGGGTGCAGGCTGACCTCCCAAGGGCACTGGGGCTCTCTGCAGAGCTAGGACCTGGCCGGGCTCTGCACCAGGGCGCCCTGTGTCTCCAGCCTGCTGCAGGGCACCAGTGTGCAGCGTGCGGCCCCACACCCGAGGGACCTCCCTGGCCAGAGGGACCCGGCCGAGTCTCACCGCTGTGCACTGCGATGACAGGCCGGTGGTGCTGGGTGAAGCTGGAGAGGCGGGGCGAGTCCTGGGGGGATGGGCTGTTGAATGGGGACTTGTCCATCTCCGTCTTCTTCACTGGGGAGGAGATGCCTGGGGGAGGGGACCAGAGCGTCACAGGCGGCCACGATCCCAGGGTCCCCGGGCCGCCCCCAGAGCCAAGGCCGACATGCTGGGCGATGTCACCCTGCCTCTTGCTGTCCCAGAACCCGAGGGCAGCCCAGTTCAGAGGAGTAAACGGGCCCAGAGAGGACATGGCGCTGCCCAGGGTTGGGTGGCAGGTCACCCACAGGAGCCCCTGCCTGCCACAGCTCGGCCCCACCTGCCTTCCGTTTAGAGAAGCGGGACAGCTCAGGGCCGTCCTCCTCCAAGCTTGTGGTCACCAGCTTGGATGGCTCCACTGATGGAAGACTCACTACCTCCCCGCTGCCCGAGCAGCCCTGGCCCTCAGTGAACAAATGAACAGAGAAAGGGATGAGACTTGGGTCTCACGGTTTGTGAGGCTGGAAATCCCGCCTGAAAGCGGTGTGGGAAAATGGGCCGGGGCACAGTGACCCGGGACTCGCCAGCTGTCACGTGTGCCGGGACACCCACAACACCAGATTCTGGGGCATCACATTTGCCCAGGGGGACCTCAGCCCCCTTTCCCAGACACCCAGCTCACCGGGGTGAGCTCTGGGGTCCTGCTGCAGCTGGGCTGTGGGGACCAGGGCGAGCACAGACGATTCTGGGGTCCCCCCAGGCACTTCCACCCCTTCTCTTGAAAATTAATCCAGAACCCAGTTTGGGCGGCATCGAGGCCCAAGCAAGGGCATTTTGGGAACTCCCGGGGCTGCCTCAGTGGGCTGCTGCTGTAGGCCTTTCAGTGCCTCCGTGGGCCCATCTGTTAAATGGGCGCCTTCGGACCCACGGAGGCCAGCGTGGAGCACACAGCAGTTGGGACACAGCCCACGTGTCACACTGAGCTCAGCCCCAGTGTGGGGCAGGCGAGGCCCTGGGACACCCGAGCGCCCCCCTGCCCCAGCAGGGCCCAGGGCCCAGAGGACCACAATTTTAGAAATGATTTTTAACACTGATTTTCAACTATGGCGACTGAGTTTTTCTCCACCTATCTGAAGTTCTTGTTCCAAAGTTTCTCCCCTGGGTGTTGGGACTCCGGGGCGGAGGTGCGATGGGGTGGGCGTCCTGGGCACTGCAGGGTGCTGAGCAGCTGCCCTGGCCTCAGCCAGCTCCATGCCAGGAGCTCCTCAGTGGCCCAGTGTCTCCTGGAGGCCGCATTCCCCGCAGCCCCTCTCTTCCTCCTCCTCTCCTCCCTGCCTCATCCTGGCTTCCTGTCTAGACAGCCCAATCAGCCGTCACTAAGGCAGCTAAACTGATTACTCTCCCCCTCCTGACATGGGCCGGTCTGTTCCTGGCAGTGGCAGCACGAGAGCCCCCTGCCTCAGCAGCCTGGGAGGGGCAGGGCCTGGGGTCAGAGCCCCAGCAAGCTTCCAGGTCTCCACCCACCCTGTCCGGGTCCAGCCTCAGGGCCCCTGTGCTTTGCAGCTCTGTGGCCATGGGTAGTGGGTTTCTTTCTCGACCTGACAGACAGGGGTGACCTCTGTGACCTTTGCACAGGCAGCTCGTGACCCTGGCTGTGCTGTGAGGACAGACGCAGGTGGCAGAAAGTGAAGTCCCAAAGCTCAGGGCTCAGCTTTTCGCCGTGGGACCTCTCGATGCGGCCTCTTGAACCTGAGGGTTCCCCTTCTCAAAGTGAGGTGCTTTTTAGATGCCAATCAATGGCAGAGCAGAAACTGTCACCTGGTATCTACTTAGTGTCAGAAACCTTGGTTCTGAGACAGTCCTGTGACAGTGCACAGGAAGACTACATTCCCCCAGCATCCATCAGAGCCAACTATGTGACCAGCTCCCGGGCACAGAGACAAATAGAAGAGGTAAATGCCACTTCTGTGAATAATTCTGAAAGGGAGAGGGAATGCCCACACTTAACAGCCCTCTCCCCCAACCCATTTTCTTTTGGCTGAATAAAATGTAGATGTGATACCAGGAGCTTCAGCAACCATCTTGGACCATGAAGTGGGAATAAAAATCACATTCAAATTTTTTAAAAATCACATTCAGTAGAACATAAAGCAGGAGCCTGAATCCCTCACACTGCATTTGTCCAGTCTACTTGCGACTGTCCTTTGGGTTATACTTCTCAAATTCCTACATAGGACTGGAGATTTAGCTCAGTGGCGCCAACCACAAGGTGCTGAGTTCAATCCTTGGTACCAAAAAAAGAAAAAAAAAAATCCCATATAATTCCAACAGCTTATGAGGGGGCACTTCAGGGATGAACATCCCCATTTTGTAGGTGAGGAAACTAAGGCCTCAGGTAGGGGAGTGGGGGCCACCAGGCAACTGAGGGGCTGGGCTGTCCCCCCAGGCAGGCAGATGTGGGGATTCCAGCTGGGATATCTCAGGATAAAGGACACCGGGCGGTGTTTCTAGAATTTAGGGGTGCCAGCCCCACATTTTGGATACTTGTTTCCTGAAAGTCAGTCGCCAGCCCACTGGAGAGCAGAATATTTTGTGGTGGGGGTGGGGTTTGGTTGTTTGTTTTGGTTTTTTGAGACAGGGTCTCACTATGTAGTTCAGGCTGGCCTTGAGCTACCCCCCTGCCTTGGCTCTCAAGTGCGGGGATGACAGACATGCACCGCCACGCCTGGCAGAAAACAGAATTTTAGAGTAAAGGGATTCTTTAAGATGAGAACCGGAGCAGACGCTGGAACCCCAAAGAAGGGAAATCTTTGGAGAAATCCCAGGTGGCGATAGTAAGTTAACAGAACGGTCTAAGGAGCTATCCTTCAATAGAAAGGCGACTAGAAAGCCGCTGACCCTATGAAATGGGAGTTCCGGGAGAAAGTCACCTGGAGACGACTCCAGGAACAGAGGAGCAACACGACAAAATCTTCCCGGAAAGGGACGCTGTGGGACTTGAGGCTCTATGGACGAGATGGGGTCCCCTACACGACAGATTCTATGGAGACCCCAGGAAGAAGCACCCTGCTGATCCGAATCTCTGAGTTAATCTAAGAGCTCAGGAACCCCAAAGACAAGTGGCTTTAACAGTAGGGGACAAAAATCCAACAAGGGAAAGGCTCTGTCCTCTGTCACAGCGGAATCAAAGAGCTGCTGGAACGTGTGAGACCAAACTTCATTTCCACAGGCGCGTAGCCAGTGTGAATACAACTCCCAGGAGGCCCCGGGGCTTTGGGCCAGCTTCCTACCCGAGGCGCCCGCGCAGTGCCTGCCGGGATACGTAGTCCCGGTTGGCGAACTCCCTACCGGAAGACTGGCTTCCCCATCCCCCTCCATCAGCCCTACCTCCTTCCATGTCCTCCGTCCAGTTGCGGCTGCTACTCGTGGGAGAACTGGGAGAAGTGTAGTAGTCTCCGCCAGGGCTCGTGTCCACGTCTTCCTCCATGGAGCCCGATTTGTGCCTCTTGCTCCTAAGGGGCGAGGGTGAGGCCAGTTACCATGGCGACACGGGGAGCGGTAGATGGCGGGCTTCGCTGACTTCCGGTTCTGAGAGAAGCGGGACTAGGGAGGTGTTATCGCGAGACATCGCGAGAGCCACGGCCTTTCAGCCTGGTCTCCCTTAACACCTGTTCCAATCTGCCCGTTATTTGGAGGGCACACCCGGGGCCAGAGGCGGGAGGGGTTCCACAGAGGTCTCAGTGCGAACTGGCAGGGCGGAGACTAAATTCCAGGCTGCCTGCCCAGAAGGATTATGATCTCATTTTACAGACGGGGAAACTGAGGCAATGTGACCAGCTCACTGTCACTGTATCTCAGCAAGAACCTGCCTCTGCATTCTCAAGTGGCTCCCAAGGGCTGGCTGGGCCAGCAGGACTTGAGGCTGGCCCAAGTGGGCTATCAAGGATGGAGAGAAGGGGCACTTGGGGTTGGGTTTTAAAGGATGAATAGGAGGGCCAGGGATTTAGCTCAGTGGTTCCGCCGTCTGCCTCGCAAGCACAAGGACCCGAGTTTGATCCCCGGTACCAAAAAGGAAAAGAAAAAAGGATGAATAGGAGTTTCTAGGCTTGGGGAATGAGAAGATGGGAATTCTAGGGAAGGAATGAGCCGGCTAGGTCAACAAGGGTCTGGGCTTGTGGGTGGGGTCACGGAGTGCCTAGCGGAGGCCTGGGGAACGTACCCGCTGGAAGAGGTGCTGGGGAGCGTTCTTCTCATGCCGGTACTGGCTGGATTCAGGTCGTAGGCCAAGTGCCCCTGCAGCTCTCCCAGAGAGAAGTTGGGACCTGTTCCGGTCACCACCGGTGCTGAACAGGGCAAGGGAGAGGAGCATGAGGGAGGGCGGGGAGGGCCTTCCAGGGGCCTCTTCCAAGGGGGGCTGCTCCCCAAGTTGGCTTGGCCCAAACCTGCTTCTGCCTACGGGTCAGAAGAGGCTGTGGAGAGAGGCCAAGGTCACACCTGGGGTGGAGGCCAGGGTTCAGGCAGAGCAGGGGTGTCTGGGAAGTGTGGGCCCCAGCAGGACCACGGGAAGGCAGACGACAGGATGGGGCCCTGGCAGACAGAGGCCATGGGATGCTCTTTCTTTCTTCTTCATGGTCCTGGGGATGAATCTAGGGCCTGCGCACTAAGCTCCCTCCCCAGCCCTTTTCCTTTATTTTGAGACGGGGTCTGAGTTGCTATGTTGCCCAGGCTGGGCTGGAACTTGTGATCTTCCTGCCTCAGCCTCCCCCACCCAGCATTTGGATCCCATGCCCTGGGAGGTGGGTGGCCCAGGATGTGTGACTTGACCTTGGGCGCTGGGAAGGACTTGGTCACCTTCCTTCCTGGGAGCCCAAGGTTGGGGCGGGAACCGGAGAGGACAAGGGACAGGGAGCGCTCTGTGCCTTCTACTCCTCCCAGCTCAGGGACACTCACTCCGAGACACTTGGATGAGTTCGGTGACACTGAACACGCCGGAGGTGACAAAGCTCTCCTGGAAGTCAGTTGTGTCTGGAATGGAGAGAGCAGGGGTCAGCAGGTGGGCACAGGATCTGGGGTGGTTGGGACCCATTTCCAGGATATGGAGACTAGTTGGGTCCAGGTGAAGCGGAGCTGAGGCCAAACCTGGACATCCCGGAATAGCCCTGTCCTGCCCTGGGGTCTAATCACCCAACCAGCATGCAGTGGGCACCATGGACAAGGGGACGGGACACGGGCCCAGCCATGCTGGAACAGTAAGCAGCCAGGAAGAGGACCAGGACTGTGACACTTGCTGAAGAGTGGACAGACCTTGAGGATGCCGTGCTCAGTGAGAGACACCAGTCACAGAGGACACAGAGTGGGCTCTGCGGACAGGAAATGCCCGGGACAAGTGATTCCAGAGACAGGAAGTGGACTCTGGGGTGTCAGGGCTGGGGAAGGAATGGGGAACTGCTCATGGGGACGGACAGAGCTTCCTCCTGGGCCGATGGACTGCTCTGGAACTAGACAGTGGTGACGGCCGCACAGCCTTGTGACTGTATTTAATGACATTAACTTGTAGACTTAAAAGTGGCGAAGTTGACAATCTTTTACAGGATGTGCATTTTATCACAATGAATTTTTTAAAAATAAAAGCTCAGGACCGGGGATTTAGCTCAGTGGTTTCGCCACCTGCTGCACAAGTGCAAGGACCCGAGTTCGATCCCCAGTGCCACTAAAACTAAAAGCTCAAGAAGTCAGAAGAGGGGCGGCAGAGGGTGGAGAGGCAGGCGCGTGGATGGAGCCAGTTCATGCAGAGCTCACAGCGAGCTCCTGACAGGGCGACACTGCTTGGTGCAGGCAGGGAAGGGGAAGAAATCTGCTAAAATATGTGAAGCAGGGAGACATGCAGCTGGCTACGCCCCGCCAGTGTTGAGGGGAGCTTTTTGTTTTCACTGAGACCAGGGCTCGCTATGGAGTCCATGCTGCCCCTGAACTCCTGATCTTCCTGCCTCAGGCTCCTGGATGTTGGGATTACAGGTGCACACCATCACAGCCACCCAGATGGGAGAAATTTTTTTTGGTACCAGGAATCAAACTCAGGGGCTTGCACTTGCCAGGGCAGGTGCTGTGCCGCTGAACTACATCCCTGGACTGACGGGAGGATTTTTAAACGTGACAATTCTCTGCCTCACTGAGGCTGCGGGAATGGCCCATGCAAAGGCCTGGGGGGTTGGAAGGCCTTGGGCAAGTTGAAAGCCAGCAGGGCAGGGCAGAACAGAAAGGGCCAGAGAGAGGGGTCTCAGCAGGGGTGGAACCAAGTGGCGGCTCATGGCTTTGCCTTGTTGGTGGGGACAGTTCCTCTCCTGGCCCCCAGGGGGCAGCATGGACTGTGGGGTGGCTGCCTGGCTTGCTTGCTTGCTTTTTCTTTTCTTTTCTTTCTTTTTTTGACTGTACTGCGAGTTGAACCCAGGGCCTCCACACAGAGCTCCATCTGCAGCCTTTTTATTTTGAGACAGGGTCTCCCTAAGTCACTAAATTGCCCAGGCTGGGTTCAAACTTGGGATCCTCCTGCTTCAGCCTCCACTGTGCCCGGGGGGGGGGGGCGCTCATCACCACCTTGGCGCACACCATCTGCGGAGCAGCAACTCGGAATGGACATCTGGGGACAACAGGGCGGGGCTGTCCGGGTGTCTAGGGGAAGTGGCCGGACTGTTTCCTGCTGACCCAGCTGGGCAGCTGGTATGGACACGGCCCCTCCACCCTCCCCGAGGCCAGGGTTTCCTGTTTGTACAGGGCCCGCCCAGCTCTCTCCGGGGGACTCCCTGGTGAGCAGTGAGGACGAGATTTCCTCTGCCAGACACTGCGGCCGCCAAGGTCCCTCTGGACCCAGCCAGCACTGATGTCCTCACCTCCCCCCAACATCTGGCTCCAGGGAGGGCCTGAGGTCACAGCCACAGGGCGGGGGAGGCAGCAGCCAGGAGGAGAGGCCTGTGGCTGTGGCCCCCCTTGCTTTCCCTGGTTCCTTGCATCCCTTCTTCCCTCCGTTGTACCGGCCTCTCTCTGCCCCTCCCTCTCTCCCTGTCTTTCTACAAATACTGAGCACCGCCTGTGCACCAGGGCCTCTTCCAATGATCCAGACAGACACACTGTCTTGTGGAGATGACACCCTTCTGGGGGGAAATAAGTAAATGCCTACACAGTTGCTGTGCAGCCACACAAATGCATATGCAACCACTAACTTCCTCGGGAGGAGATAAAACAGAGGTCTGTGGCCTAGGGAGACCAGAAGGCATTTGATTTGAAGGGGCTCGGGGAAGAGCTCTCAGAGAAGGGACATTGGGGAGATCTGGAGAGAGATGGAGAATAGTTAGCTGTCCAGCTAGAAAGCATGGGACGTGCAAAGGCCCTGGGGCAGCCAGGAGCCTGGTGTTGCAGGAGCAGTGAAAAGGCTGTGTGGCTGGAACAGAGGGAGTGAGGGGCAGAGGGGGAGGAGGGGACAAGCAGGTTGTGCAGGGCCCTGTGGGCTGCAGGGAGGACTTGGGCTTTGGCCTCAGAGAGGTGGAGTCCTGGAGGGCCGAGGGCTGAGGAGGGAGAGTCTGACTCGGTGCTCACGGCCACCTCTGGCAGTGGCTGCAGGATGAGGGTGTGAGTGGGGTCCGAGCAAAGCCTTCCTGCCTCCTTCCTGTTCGCTCCAGGCCCTGTCTCAGGCGAGTCCTCCCGGTCCAACTCAGCTTAGTGTGGCCCTGTCCAGCTGCAAGCACCCCGAACTCACCCAGCGTGATGGGCTTGCTGTCTTCCTGCTCCGAGCCCATCCCCGCCCGGGGACTGCTGCTCTGCTCGGCATCTGCAAGACAGGGAGAGTTGGTGACATGCTGGGGAATAAGAATTTGGGCACCCGCAGTCTTGACAGACTCAGGTTCAAATCGTAGCTTTGCTTATTATTTTGTGGTACTGGGACTTACCTCAGGGCCTTTGTACTGAGCTTCATCCCCAGCCCTTTTTATTTTTTGTTTTTGTTTTGGTACCAGGAATCGAACTCGGGACCTTATGCTTTCGAGGCAAGCCGTGGAACCACTGAGCTAAATCCCCAGCCCATTTTTTACTTTTTATTTTGAGACAGGGTCTTGCTAAGTTTCCCAGGCTAGGCTGGAATTGTGACTCTCCTGCCTCAGCCTCCCAAAGTGCTGGGATGACAGGTATGCACCACCACACCTGGACACAAGGCTCCAGCTTTGTCATTTTTGTGCTGTGTGTCCCTGGGCAAGTCCCTTGCCCTCTCTGAGTGTCTTCCTGGAAATGAAGATACTCTGGAAGGACAACTCTTCATCCGACCTCACCCTATCCTTCTGCCTGTTTTACAGGTGGTGTAACGGCGACTCCTTGAGCCTCCCTGGTCTGCTGGCCTCCACCTCTGCCCCCGAGGCCCTGGGGACTGGGCCCTTGCTCTTGGGTTTGTATTCCAGGAGCTTAAGGGTGGCTGTCTGCGGTTGCAATGCCCCTATGTGCCCCGGTGCTCTCTCTCCATCTTATCTAAAAATAATCAGGCTCCTTGGCAGATGAGAGAGAGAGAGAGAGAGAGAGAGAGAGAGAGAGAGAGAGAGAGACGCTGAGCTCAGCACTCTCGGCTCCTGCAGCCGGGATGCAGGGCGCGGCGTGGCTCTCTGCAGTGCCGGAGCTGCGGATGGCAGCCAAGCATGGCATTATGAGCTGCACGGAGATGGCAGGGAGAGCACATCTGGAGCCCTCAGGGAGCACGGGGGTCCCCATAAATGGTACCATTCGCTGCATGGTTAGGAAGTATTTTATTCATTTATTTTGCAGCACTGGGGGTTGAACCCAGGGCCTTTGCACTGAGCTCCATCCCCGCCCTTTCTATTTTTTATTTTGAGTCAGGGTTTCTGTAAGTTGCCCAGTCTGGGTTCAAACTTGAGATCCCCCTGCCTCAGCCTCCCAGAGTGCTGAGATGACAGGCCTGTGCCGCCATGCTTGGCTTATTATCCTTAAATCCTCAAGATAACCACAAGGGTGGTATTTTTATCTTATTTTATATCCCTAAGACAACCTTCAGCACAGCATTGCTATTGGATGAGGAAAACAGGGTGACAATGACAAATGTCCCCACCCCAGGCCAGAAGCCAGTCAAGGGAGTGTGATGGGGACAATAAAAATGGTGATGTTTCAGCCAGGCGTGGTGGTGTGCACCTAGCATCTCAGTACTTTAGGGGGCTGAGGCAGGAGGATCTCAAGTCTCAGCCCAGCCAGGCCACTTAGGGACTTAGTGAAACCCTGTTTCAAAATAAAAAATAAAGCAGGGCTGGGGATGGAGCTTAGTGCGAAGGCCTTGGGTTCTATTCCCAGCACAACAAAAAAGAAAAAAATGTGGCATTGCTCCGAACAGCACAATAGCAGCCACATGCCTCAGTTTTCCAATCCAGAAGAGCAGCCGGCAGAGCAGCCCCACTTGGCCTGGCTCTGCCACTAGGCCAGCGTCGGGCAGGGCAGACTGCAGCCGACTTGGCGGCTCCCGGGCTGGGCAGAGTGGCCCCCAGAGCCAGCCAGCCCTCTTGGATGCCTCGGCTGGGTGCTGGCCACTGTGTTGGGAAGGAACCAGCCTGGGCAGCCGGCCGCTGGGCCTCGGCACGGGACCCTCTTCCGAAGGCTGGCTGTGCCCAGCTGGCACTGCCAGGCGCTTCCCTAGACACCCACTGAGCCCCAGCCTCCCGGGCCGAACCTCCTGCCTCCCTTCAGGGAAACAGGCACAGCCATGGCCTCGGCCTTGGCCTGGAAGCCGCCCAGGAGGGAACGAGCCCATCCCAGCTCTCAGGAGGCTGAGGCAGGAGGATTACAAGTTTGAGCCTAGCGTGGGCGACTTAGCAAGATGCTGTCTTTCCCAAAATCCTTAAGGAAAGAAAAAGATGCTCAGACAGTCATCCCCTCGGGTGTGCAGAGAGCTGCCTAGCAGCCCCGTGTCCCCGTGGGACGGGCTCCACGCATGGCCCATGTCCAGCGCCCCGGGGGCCACAGCCTGAGGCACCTTGGCACCCCATCCAATGTGCTCACCTGGGGGTAAACTGAGACAGGGCATGCAGTGCCCTTGCGAAGCAGCTTTGCCTCACTCAGCAGCCCTCCCTCCACTCCAGGAGATCCGGCCCGGGCCCTGGGCCAACCACAGAGCTCACTGGGCCAAGTGAGAACCTGGCTGGGTCCTGTCTCCGAAGCCCCTGGTTGCATCCCCTGGTTTCAGGGCAGAAGTTGGCTAAATATTTTTAGCATTCGCAAAGCACAGACAGATACAGGGACCCCATCGCAGGGCACAAACAGATCCGTCCTGCCCCAGCCATTATAATTTCACAGGGCGAATGGACCTCTCTGGGGAGAAGCCTCAGAGAAGCCCCCTTCCATAGCCCACCCTGCCCCAGGTATACAATAAATGCGCATCCCTGAACAGTCTCACTAAAGCCTTCCACAAATCCTGCTTCCCGGAAGACCCGGGCATCTTCCCTGAAGTTCCCCAAGGAGAGTTTTAACCCCAGTTTGCTACAGATGGGGTGCACGGGGTGAGGGAGCAGATCCGGGTTCCCCCTCGTTGCTGTGTGGCCTCAGGAAAAACACTGGCCATCTTTGGGCTTCAGGGCCCCTCATTCCCCAAACGTGTCCCCTTCAGAGAGACACACAGAGGTCTTTAAGCACCAGACACTCAAAGACAGCCATGCTCACGCTAGTATAAACAAGACCCTGGACTTGGCAGCTGCTCGATTGCTTCCCAAGTCGGGGTGGGGTTTTTGTGCAGCCCAGAACCACCCGCCAACTCTACTCAAGCAAACACCAGATCACGGGCACCAACGGCAACACAACCGGGCCTGCTGACCAGCGTACAAACTGTTCCTTCCTGCCTGTGGCTGAGAGCCCAAATTTGGTCTGTGGCAGATCAGGACAAAGGCTCTGTGGCAGTGGTCACGGCCCTGCCTTTCCTCTGTCCGGGACAACTCCCTCCCCATCGTGGAGGCAGTGCTTCCGCTGGTCACGGTCACGGCTGGAGGTCACCATGTGGCCCAGAGTCCATCTAGCAGATGTTCTCTGACCACCTAGTTAACCTGGCAGGCGCTGGGGAAATGGCAGAGGATCAGGTGGGAGGGACGAGAGGGAACCACAGGCAGCAGGGGCTAGGAGGAGCCCGCAGGGTTCTGCCTCCTGCTATGAGCTGGTCATGCCACTGGACAAAGCAAGTGCAAAGGTCCTGGGGCAGGGACAGACGGGGGATGTGTGAGGGCCACGGAGAGGCTGTAGGGCTGGACCATGGTGTCCAGAGCAGAGACAAGAAGGCAAGAGGGCAGAGATCACTCCAGGCTCCTCCGGTCACAGCGAGAAGCTCAAGGTTATTCTGCAGGACCACTAGGCGTGACTGACCTGATGTGTATTTCTTTATCTTTTTCCCAGTACTGGAGAAAGAATCCAGGGCCTTTGTATCCCCAGCCCTTTTTTTTTTTGAGACAGGGAATACTAAGTTGCTAAGTTTCCTAGGCTGGGCTTCAACTTGCGATCCTCCTGCCTCAGCCTCTTGAGTGCCTGGATGACAGGTGTGTGGTACTGCACTAGGCTGTGTTTCTGAAAGCCTCCAGCTGGTGATGTGCAGAAACCGGAAGCCCCTGGTCCTGGGATGGAATTCAAAGTGGCAAAGCAGCTACGGGAAACAGCCGGGCAGGGGGTGGGGTGGAGGGGTGGTCCTTGAACGGCTAACTGTACACTCATCACATGACTCATCTCTGTTCCAAGGGACCCACCCAACTGACTTGAAAACGGAGGTGCAAACAGATGCCTGCACAACGTGCTCACAGCAGTGGGGCTCACAGCAGATGAAGGTGGGGACGGCACAGTGGAGAGGTTCGGAGGGACGCCACTGTCCATGCGCTGGAATACTACTCAGCCAGGAAAAGGAGCGAGGCCACGACACTAGCCACAGCGTGGAGGGACCCTGAGGACGCTGTGCTTAGTGAGAGACGCCAGACACAAAGGACACGGGGTGGGCTCCACAGACAGGAAGCGCCCAGGACAGGCGACTCCAGAGACAGGAAGTGGACTTGGGTGCCTGGTCTGGGAGGAGACAGGAGTCAGTGTCTCATGGGACAGAGGTTCGGTTTAGGAAGGTGAGAAGTATTGGAGGTAGACAGCGGCGACGGCTGCACAGCCATGGGACTCTAACACCACTGAACTGGGTGCTCAGACGTGGTTAAAAGAAACTGGGCATGGTGGTGCTCGCCTGTGTTCCCAGCACTCAAGGGAGGCTGAGGCAGGAGGATTGCCATGAGTTCAAGGGCAGCCTGGGCTCCACAGCAAGACCCTGTCTCACTCCCCCACCCCCATCCCCAAAAGGAAAGAAATGGTTAACGTGGTCAGTGTGTGCTATCTGTGTTTGTGATGGTTAAATATTATTTTTGGATGCCTGGCTGCTGCAGGGCCCCTCGGGAGGTGTGGGTAGCTGTCCCTACGAGGGTCACCCTGGCCCAGCCTAGCGGTCTGGGAACAGCCCCACGGGGCACGTTTAACGTCTGCCTGGGATGCAGAAACCCCCACGTCGTGCGCTTAGAGCCTGGCGGCAGTGGCAACAAAACCAGGCCTTTCCACGCGGCGGCAGAGCCAGCTCCAGCCTGGCTCCCGCGCAGCTGGCTCTGCCGCCGCCACGTCCGCCTCCCTCCAAAGCAGCTGCCAAAGCGAGAGGCAAAGCCAGGCCCTGGAATCCCCGTTGCAGGCTCAGCTTGCTCAAGACCTGGCAGGCGCCAGTGCCTACATGCTCCCCTGCTCCCCCTGTCCAAACCCTGTCCTAATTCTCTCGGCCCAGACTCAGTC